AATGTTTCATATTTTTAAAAGCTTCCCATACAGGAAGAAAGCTAAAAACACACAAATGACAGATATATTTTAACAATTATTTAACTGAATTCACAAACTTTGTTTTAGCAGGGAACAAAACTAATCAGTTTTAAAGCCACAACATAACCAGTGCTAAGTCTTTTTTGCAGCTATTTTTCTTTGTATGGTTTTCTTAGTATGTTTGATTTGGTGATAAGTGGAGGCGTTGCAGAGACAAGGGTGGAACTAAACTGAGAAATACCGGCTGTTTCTCTGTAACTTCATTTTGACGCTTTGTGTTTCATGCTTTGCATGTGCGAATCCACTGCCTTAATTCCCATCGTTCTGAGCTTAAATCACTTCTTGCACAAAATCCACTGAGCCTCATGTATGTTCCCTGGTTTTAGCCATGGAGAAAACTCTTGGCTGAATAGACAATTTACATTTGTTCATATTTTCCATACAAAAAGTAAATGGCGCATCTCCCAAATGTCCCGGCCGCAACAACGCTTTTATTGGTTCCGCTATCGGGACGGAACCAATAATGGCGAGCCATTATTTTTTTAAATAAAAAAAAAAAAAAAAAAAAAAAGGTCAATTTTAACGTTTTATTTAGATTACAAAAATAAATCCTTATAAAAATAATCCTATTTATGATGTTTTAAAAATTAAGACCTACAAAAGACTGATTTAAGACATTTTAATACCAATTAAGGCCTTAGTTTTATTTTGAAGAATTCAATGCCTTTTAAGACTTTTTAAGGACCCGCGGGAACCCTGTCTGTCAGAGCAGCATACCCATAGTCAATACCCATCTTTTCCTTTAGTTTATCCCTTTAGTTTTCTACAAAAAAATTCACTTTAAACTACCTCAATGGGCGTGTATCCCCTAGGCATGTACAAGAAAACAAATCACTTACTTTTTGGTGTTTTTTGAAGCATATGGTGACCTGACCTTAAAGGAAAAGTCCGCTCATATTCAGAATTCAAACTTCTGAAAGTACTTTAAATATTAAAGTATTACATACTGTTCAATAAATGATCAGTGTTTTTAATTCAGAGTAATTTTCATTTGAATGTGCTTTACTGGAGGCATCCATGTTGGTCAAAGAACACTAACACCACCTACTGGTTTGTGACGTCACGGTGCGGTATCGGCTGTTGATCAAGTCCCAGTGCATGAACCCGTCCGTGGAGGATCAGGAATCGGAAAGATGAAATAACTTCTTTTTTTTTTTTCCACTTTCCAGCTGCCATGCACGTGGGCATTGTCAGTTTCACTATAGCTCTGGTGAATTTCAATGGTGAAGTCCTCTGGAATTCTTCAATAATTGTTGTTGATTGCAGATGTGTCTAGTAGTTCCCATTGATTTTGCTTGTAAAGCAGAGAGAATGGCGCTAGGCTTACCGCACCGTGACGTCACTGCTGGAAGATGGCAGGAGGGAGGGGTTACTATATTTGGGCAAAAATGGCCGCTCCCAGACTCAGTGATCGCATAGAAAATTATTATGTTAATTGTTTTACTAATTAACACTAAATTCATTAAATCATTGCAAACATATTAGTTTAAGGTATAAATAATGATCCATTGGTTATTCTTTGTAGACCAGACTTTTCCTCTAAATAGTTTTTTTGTACGTTACTAAAGGGATGCACTCCCGTTGAGGTAGTTTAAAATCTATTTTTCATACCAAACTTAAGGGATAAACGCAAATCTGACGTCTTGCGCATGCGTATTGATTATTGGTATGCTGGTCTGACAGAAAAACGGTGATAAACGAGGGTGAGTCCTATAATTAGCATCACAGGCATCTTTGAACTTTACAGTTTACAAATACTGCAGGTTTAATATTTACTCATTAAATAACTGCTCTGAATTTGCACAAGAGAGTGAGACTAAAGGTATGGGTAAAATCCTTTTTTACTATATTTTACGTCCTTTGATTGGCTATTTTCCACAAATAACATCTTATAGATGAAAATGTATTCATTTTTAAACCAAAAATAAACTAACGACTAATTTTCTTAAGTATATGTTCATCCAAATGATGTTCCCTTTGAAGGAATCTTATTTAGCTGGACCTGGACCAAGAACCGTCCTTTGGATGATAAAGGCTGCAGATTTTTCGCCTTATTTAAAGGGTACCATGCTATGCTGTTTAGTAACATGGTGTATACCACACCCAACATGGACTGCAGGAAATGACAGGGAAAGATGTCTCAGAAAAAGACAATTACAGACAAGGATGTTCCAGGTAACGGATATAAGTGCATCTCCATGTAGATTCATGCTGGCGAAGATTCTCAGTCATTTAAGTCAACCAGGAAGCTTTTTCAATTCAAAATGTCAGAAATAGTGTTGAGTTCCAGGTTTTATACAGTAGCCCAACAAAGCCTTGGTTTTATTTTGAAAAAAATGCAAATTGCAACAGACGAAAGGGTCCATACATTTGGAACCAAGTCCAGTTGATTGTTTTTATTTTTATCTTTGAATCATGCAGCTGCATGTTTCTATGACTACAGTCCTAGAATATCTTTATTTTGGTTTCTGTTTTGCAAATATAGGTCTAGGAATAGATGTCCCAGAGCTTCTGAGGTTTATAGTCAGATGGGTCATAGTGAACCTCACTGGATGTGGCCACAGGAGAACAGGAAGCCTTTAGTTATCAGGCTCCTCTCCTGTGGAACCAACTATCAGTTTTAGTCCATGAGGCAGACACCCTGTCCACTTTTAAGGCTAGGCTTAAAACTTTCCTTTTTGTTTAAGCTTATAGTTAGAGTGGCTCAGGTTATCCTGAGCTATCTCTATAGTTATGCTGCTATAGGCTTAGACTGCTGGAGGACATAGGGACCCCTTTTTCATCATTCTGTTTCATTCTATCTCTATTCTCCCACTCTGCAGAATATGTTAGTTCAATCTCTAACGTTCTGCTCTCTCTGCTTTTTCTCATAGTAGCTTCATCTGGTCTGTTCCTGTTTGGCTGTGACTCCATCCTGGAGAGAAATATCAGCTGTGCTGCTTCCATCAACACCTTTGTTTATAGATGTTGGAGATCGACCTGTTTTTCCAGTGTAGTCCTGTTTCTCTGACTGTGACTAACTGGATGTGCTCTCTTCATCCTCTGACATGGGAGCTGGCTCGGAGATCGTCTGCCTGGTTGTGAGTTTCCTGGACGGGGCTGCCTTTTACAGCTGCCTTTAGTATCTATGCTTCTTTTTCTATGTCTGTTTGTGTCTCCTTGAACCCTAGTCAGCCTCAGCAGATGGCCGCTCACACTGAGCCTGGTTCTGCTGGAGGTTTCTTCTTGTTAAAAGGGAGTTTTTCCTCTCCACTGTCACCACAAGCATGCTTAGTGTGAGGGATTGCCTTCGAGTCAAAGAGTCGATGCAATCAACTGGTTTTCCCTAGATAGAAAATTTTGAATCAATTTAACTGGATGATCTGGTGAACTGGAAAGTGCCTTGAGATGACATGTGTTGTGAACTGGTGCTATGTAAATAAACTGAATTAAAGCGGTGAATACACTAACTTTGAAAAAGACAATATTTCAGAGTAATTGAGACATTTTGGCTCTAAAGCCACCATAAGACATCCCACCTGACCTTTTACCAAATAGTTTGGAGAGCTCTATTGAAGCGGATGTTTGTTTGGAGATAAAGGAGATGTCAGCAGGAAATTATCTCACCTTAACTGATATGGGCTTACTATGGAGTACGTTCAGAGCAAAACATGATAAAGGTTGTTGACATAAATGTTAACCAGAAGTACAGTACAGAGTGACCAGAAGCAGAATAACCCAGGGCAGATATGGAGACATGTCTTATCTCAATGAGCGAATGCCAGAAACATGGGATGCAAGTTTTACTCTCAAAAAATATATATAAAAATAGCACATTAAAAAACCTCCAGAGGAGGTGATTATTATCAAGAACTGTGAAAAATTCAGCAGGTTTTCCATTAAATAGCATTTCCATCCACCTGTGTGTGATCTGTGAGTAATCCATACCTTTACTTATTAACATACCTTTACATTTACTTCATAAATACAATTTAATTACAGTAATCATTACATTTATCCAAAATCATTTTATAGTTATTTACACTTTATCTGGTTAAAAATGCTGTTTACTTTCAAACTAATGGCAGCTAACAACAGCTGGCTTCCTTCCCATCTCCACCAGGATTGAGTGCAAGGTTTCCCTCCTCACACACCAAATCATCCATGGACATGCCCCCCCCATATGATTGGCCAAATTTAGGTGTTCAGGCTGACCTATAACTAACTGGCCTGCAGAAGATTACGGGGAAAAAACCCCAGATTTTTAAGACAAGATTTTTTTTTTAAATAGAAATTTTCTTAATTTTGGGACAATATTTTGAGATAATATAAGAGTAGATTTATATACATGTTTAAGCCGGAATTATTTGACATTTAAATATGACTTTCCTACGACTTTAGGTCTCCTTTAGACATTTTTCTGTCTTCTAAAAATAGCTCTTCATGCTTTTCTCTTTGTACCTGTACCACTCTTAGATCTTTTGATGAAAAGTACAGTATAAATCAAAAGTATTTTATTATTAATTATTTTGCCAATCAATAAATCTGTTGATTATTTTTTCCAATTAATCGATTAATAATCAGATAGCCAAAGCTTCCTTAAAGAAAACTTTTTTTTTTCTTTTTTTTTATGAAACCAGGTAAAACTAAAACTTTTCCACTTTTCCCATGTTGTAAGAAAGAAAATATTTTTATCCTAAATGTAAAATTTTATATATATTTTTTTACAATCTTGGTATATTTGCTGCTCTAAGTGGTTGGCTCTGTCAGCTAAAGGCATGTTTTACAGTCTCTATACTCCAGGTAACGGTTAATCGATTACTAAATTAGTTTGACGATTATTTCAATAATCGATTACTTTGTCAGTCTTAGTTTTCACACTGCAGGTATTTGAGAGAAATCTAAGAGGGAATTTCTACCAATAAGTTGGTTGGACTTACTCTGGCCTTCAGATGTTGGATCCTCCCTCCAACACAACAGGATCCTCCATCGCTTCTCCTGGAAACAAACGTCAAATATGAGAATGGACTCTCCTACAGCTACACCACAGCTCTGTTTGCGCTGATGCTGGTTACCTGGGATCCACATTCCTGAAAAAGCTACTGAGGGCCTCGTCGTACTGTCCCTTCTAAGGAAGACAAAGGATGTTAGAATGAGCCATCCAAACACGAGTCGCTGGATTCCCTTTAGAGAACAGGTCTGCTTTCTAAAGCTAAAGGTCCTGTTCAGACCTACAGGCTTTGCTGAAGTGCAGAGTTACTCAGCTGAAAGGGATAAAGGCCAGAGGCAAAGGATTGAAGTTATTTTGACCAAAAAAGAAAAACAGAAACGATTAACAGGAAACTTTGAAACTGATTCATCACAAAGGTTAAAACCAAATATATATCTGATTATCTAGAGTCAACTGAGAATCCCAGAGGGAAGAAGAAATGCTGCTGAAAGGAATGAGGCTTATTTAAGGAAAACATAATTACATGAAAAACAAAGAATCACCAAATGGATGAAAATTGGTTTATTGAATCTGCCTAAGGAGAAAAGTCAGTCCAAGACTGTCCTGCAGAGAAATGGAGCTTCAACTGAAAGTATAGGTATAGCTGTTCAGTGGTTGGTCTCTCAAGATGCATTAAGGGCAGATTATACTTATATACTCCAACTGAAACACATTAAATGTCGCTTGGGTCTGGTCGCAAACCAGTTTTGCTGGTATGCTTCTGCACAGTCGGTCTGGAATTTCTAGGGACGCACAGAAGTTTCCAGCAAAAAGGGCAAGGGGGAGCCTATTCAAGAACTCAAGAGAATTTCGGCGGCGATCCATCAGGACTGATTCTATTTCCACTTTTTTATCAGGTTGTGAAAAAAGGACCAGTTTGGTTTTCCGTCAGCAGAGTTGGAGCGTCATCATTAGTCTTGATAAAAGTTAAATTCAACTCAAGGTTGGTTTCCCTGAACGATCGCAGGCATACAGTCAATTTAACCTTGCCGGGGCGTGCTTTGGTGGTGCAGTGGGTAGCGCACACGACCCATGTAAGTAAGCTTTAGTCCTCAACGCGGCCGACCCAGGTTTCAATCCAACCTGTGGTCCTTTGCCGCAAGTTTCTCCCCCTCTGTCATAGCCCCTTTCCTGTCAGACAACTGTCTAAAAGAACAAGCCCATAATACCGCCAAAACTAAATAAAAAAAAAAAAACATTTGATGCATCTTTTGAGGTTTAATTTAATTAAAATAGTAAAAAAAAATCACATTCTCAAAGTGTTTGCAGCAAATGTCCTTATTGGTTCCATCACCTCCAGAGAGTTTTCATTACATGCAGAGCAGCTGAACAGAGCACAGCAAAGGCCTCTGCCTTATAGTGCATCTTCTATGGAAGTAAATTTACTGAACTAATTGACTGAAGTTTGGGTGCAGTTCACACATAAGGGAACCTGCTAAGTACAAAAGCAAGGAATGAACTTTGTTCCATTGCTGTTTTAAAGACCATATAAAGTCATGCACCACTCGAGAGAATTCGGAAATGCAACGGTTGGAACAGCCGCTTCCCTATGACCTTAAGGTGGAGTGTTACAGTGACATCGTCTGACAGCTGCTGGCTATAACCCCCTGCTTGGTGCATCATTATCCTGCATTGTCTGCTGATGGGGCTGTCAGTAAGCCCCATTGGAGACTGGCTAGTCTACTCCAGAACCTCGATATGTTTCCTACAGAGCCACTCCTTGGTTATCCTGGCTGTGTGCTTCGGGTAATTTCCATGTTGGAAGACCCAACCTCCACCTGTCTCCAACGCTCTAACGGATGGACACACGGCCCCCTCATCATTCTCTCCTTAATACAGTGCAGTCGACCTGTCCAATGTGCAGAAAAACACCCCCCAAAGCATGATGCGTCCACCCCCATGCTTCACAGTAGGGATGGTGCATTCTTGTTCCTCCGAGTGGAATCAAGACCAAAAAGTCCTTCTTCCATGACTCTTCTGGATCGTCCCAATGGCCGTGGGCAAACGTAAGACGGGCCTGGACTGATTTAAAGAGCGGAACCTTCTGTGCCATGTATGATTTTAAACCATGGAGTCTTATTACTAACAGTAACTTTGAAAACAGCACAACACCACAATGAAATACAAAAAACAAGCATAAAAACCCAGATAAATAAGTCCACAAACTAGATAATAATACTGTATACTTTGTGCAAAATGAGATGGAGGTAAAGAAAAAAACGGATGCTCAGAAAACACAGTTGGTTCCAGAAACATTGTGCTGCTGTGATCATTGTCACCTTGATGGAAGAAGGAGTAAAGTCGTTGTGCACAGATGCCGGTTTGATCTTCTTCAGTCCTTCAGTCAGCACACAGTCTGCTGCCTTATTACTGCATGTCTGATGGCAGCTTACAGCACATTTCTGGACGACCATTTAGGCTGTGGCTACTTCTATCATCCTGGGAAATATTGCAAAGACGTGTTCAATGCAGCCTGCTTGTATGCATATAGAGCACATATGTCAAAGTCAATTGTTTATCCACGGCGCCCTAGATGATATTACCATTAGAACCAGCCCACTGGCCACCGCTGCTGGTGCGCTCTGCTGTGAATTTGCGGGCTACCGTTGAATTGTGGGAAATGTAGTGTTGGTGTGGTTGAGCTGCAGGCACCAACACTACATTCCCAGGAGAAAACATGATTGTATTTTTCTTTTATTTTAAGTTTTTGTTGTGCTTTGCATGTTTGGATTGTTTTGGTTTTTTCCACCTTTAACAATACAAGCTGGATTGAAGTCGGTTGTCTGAGGAGGCAGAGCGCACTAACTTTGTTCTGCAACTGTTGCGCTCAGGAGTCAGCAGAGGCTGATTGAAGCCAAATTTAAAGGAGCCTGAAGGGAGGAGCGGTGCTGATGCTGCAGGTGATGGAGACACGCTGCTGAGCGAGAGGCAGGTGGGATCCGCATGATGGAGACGGAGCTCTGCTTACAGGCGAGGACCTCTGCCCTGACTGTGCCGTCTGTTCACCTCCTGGTATTCTGTGCCTGGCGTGCGGATCTACCTGCCCCTCACTCTGCAGCGTGTCTCCATCACCCCTCCCTCCATCCAGGCTCCTTTTATTTTAGCTTCAATCAGCCTCTGCTTACACCTGCAGTCTGTAGTCTTTTTGATTCTTCGGTCCTTTTTGGTATTGCTTTGCTTTTTGTTTAAGAAATTCCTTTTTTAAAGAACCTTTGGCTGAATTCTGGATCCGCTGCCATAATTCATCACAACATTTTTACATTTCTTTGTACAAGATGTGACTTTTCTTTGAAGGAAGTATTGTTCTGTCTGTGTGCCATAGATTTTTGTATTTCATTTTATTTATAAATTTTTTTCAGTTGAATGGATTCAGGGAAAATTGCAGATCAGAGCCATGAGAGGAATACAACTAATTAGATTTTTTTTCTTATTTTACTATTAGAAAGCATCAGGATCATAGAGCAGCACAGAAATGCATTTTTGGTTTATAATGCATGCACTTTCATTTATCTTAATAAGTTTATTAATATAATAAAAGTTTATTAATAATATTCATATTCATATTTTATTTTTAATAAACAATGTGTTAGGTCATGGTTTAATAGGCTATGTTCATTTCAATTGAGTTTTTATAAACATTTAACCAGATTATAGATTATAGCTAATTTGTTTTTTTGGCCCTTGGTGTATTTGTTTTGACATCCCTGATATAGTGTACTCCTATATGACTGCACATAGTCTTGTTTAGTGATATTTATACACATTTCTGAGATATTTTTATGTTTTCAGGATACTAATGTTTAGTTCCTCTTTACAGAGGTGGATAATCCAAGTCCAGTTTTTCCTTCACACTCTATTTAAACAGGTGAGCAGCCCCTCCAGTCTGTGTTGTGCATACAACTACAGTATGCACAACACAGACTATTCTAACAATGGCCTGAGATAGAGGTTAATGTGTTCCCTGTTTCAGCTCTCTCTGTCATCTTCTCTGCTGCAGTCACTCCATCTTTAGAGGCTCTTCTAGAGATGCTTCATGGATAACTTCAACCTTAGTGAGGTTAAACCTCTGATCTCTATTGACTGGATTGCTGATAGCCTGAAAAAAGTGAAGCCACCTTCCGCCATCTTGGTACTCCCCACTCCCACGGAGATGTGCAGTGAAACTGCGTACATGTGTAGCATTTGGCTGCAAAAACAATCAGTTTGTCTGCTGTGGGAAGATGTTCCACAGGTAATTTCACTGTCAGTGTGTGCATATGTTCTTGTATGTATAGTTTTTTTTCAAATGATCAGATTCTTGTTGTAACTAAGAGCAAAAAGCAAAATATGAGCTTGATGTTGGCTGATATTTTACCAATTTATGTGATTTTTCTAGAGTAGAAACTGAAACTTTAGTTATTCAATTGGTTAATTAGTTTAGCTTTTTTGAAAAATGAATGTTAGATTTAAAGGCTGATGCACAGACACAGGATAAAAGTATACGGCATCATGCAAACAGTAAAATACTATAGCATTAACAGACATGTGCTTGTAATTCAGTCTTTATGTGAAATCCTAAATTATATGTAAGATGTAATTATCATAACAATGTCATCATTACATGTGTATCATCAATTTAGCACTTTCAGCACATCTGTATTATTCTGCTCCATTAAACACATTAATGATGGATGGATTTGTATAATGTTATATTACATGATTTAGAGACTTCATGGACCTCATATTGACTATGCAATGTGATCAGCCTATTTTATTTATTATAAGTTAATCTACTGATGATATAAAACAGCCAGTGTGTGTCAAAGTGATTAATTTATCTTTAAAACATTTTTTTATAAAAATTTTAATAAAAATGAGAAAATCATTGTTCAATGCCATCGTTTACATTGCAACCACTCTAACTAGGGAGTACCAATATGGCGGCCGGTGGCTTCACTTCAACTCCGTACCACCAACGAGCAATCAGCAATCCAGTGAATAGCGACCAGTGGGTCAAACCGTTTAGTTTCAGGGTTCTTTGGCTCTGTTCAAATTAATGCGCTGCGTCCTCAGAAGGCCAGATTCGAAGGAAGATTACGTCATAGCGCCGCGCCGAGGTGTGTTCGGATTCCAAGACTCCTCGTTATGCGGCCTTCTTTTTGCCCAATTTGAAGGACGGATCCGATGTATCCTCGGTATCCTTGGATATCCCAGGATTCATAGCGAGTCCAAGCAAGCCGGCTGCTCCATGATCAGAGGAAAGGTTACTTGGCGCCGAACAGTGATGAATATTGGAAGTTCAGTTTAATATAATACAAATATTTGAATAGTTCTGTCTGAAATTAATGAAAATAGTTGTTTTAATGGTTCTAGAGTCAGATATGTGGCGGATAATGTTTGACTTATCTATAGATTTTAATCTGTTACTGCGTAAATAGGCTTGGCTGTAATTTAAGGACAGATATCTGCAGAGTGGAGACTATAAATCTGATGGTTTTATTTTTTTGCTGTTTTGCTTAATGTGCATTACTAAGAATCTATTGTTGTTGAATATTAGAGATTTTGCAGATATATTTCTTACACATAGATTGTTTAGATTTACTTATATATTTCTACTCCTTTAATAGAATAGAAAATCCCTTTATTGTTCCACAATGGGCAAATTTACAGCAGCAGAGAGATTAATGAAAATGGTCACACAACTGTGGACCTTAGAAAAATGTATAAGAATAACATAATAGGGAAGAGTTAAAATATAAACAATAAAATACTGTAAAGCATTTTAACAATTTAAAACTGGAGAATAAATAACCAATATGCAGCTATGGACATTTTTACAGGAATGGATATTTGAAACTAGCAGCAACATCAGAGATGTGCAGAATGACAGCAGCAGGTTATTTAACTGACAGGTTTCTATCATTACATTTGATTTTATTTGTTCCTGCTCCTGCTGGTTGGAACCTTTATTCCATTCTGGATTCTTGTGAGTGTAGTCTTTGTCCAACAAACAGTTTTGAAAACTTCTGTATTCAGTCTTTTCCTGTGTGTCACTGTCACGGTTGCTAAGCAACATAGCCTACGGCGGTAAAACTCACTTGAAGGGTGGAAATTTTTGAATTCACAGCTAAAACTCTTCCGATCTCCCTATTTTCACGGACTTCTAAGGATCCAGTCTAGGTAGACCGCGACCTTGGAGGATATAGCCCATGAATTCGAACAGACCCTTTTGTGAAAACAGGCTCAGATGGCTGCTTCGCTGCGCGCGCCTACCTTGTTGACGTGCGCGTGCTCGCGCAGAGCCAGATCCCAGAACCTGCATCCGACCTGGTTTCCACACTGTCCGACTAGGGAGAAGATTTCAGTTTAGATATCAGAGCTTCCATGGAGCAAAGCAGTCCTTTAGGTCCGCTCACCTTGAACAATAACGGACTGAGTCATGGCAGCAGCGGCTTAGACCGTCCTGTAGCGTTAGCTAGGCCCTACGGGTTCATTTAGTTAGCTGCAGACCGCAGCGAAACACTTTTGAAGGCTGTGGTGAGTCGCGCCTTCACTGTGTTTGGTCCTGTGCTGATGACATCATTACCATAGTAACCACCCCATTGGACGTTACCCGCGTCAAATGGGAGCGTCTACGTGCCTATAGGGCGGCCATCTTGGGTCAGACCGCAGTTCAGACGGCTGCTGTCAGAATTAATAGGAGGCGCCTTAGATCTAATTTTAATCACATGAAAGACAAGTTAAAGATAACATCACGATAATTTCTTACATGTCACAACCTTTTGAAAGTCCAAAACAACTTTTTAAGGACCTTCAATTTAGATTAGACACATTTATTCAGACCCAACCAATTTAAACTAAAGTCAAACTAGATGAGGTGAAAATATAATAATTAAACTTTATTGATCTCACATTGGAAAACTTTACCTCTGAATTTAACATCATCCGCCCAGGGAGCAGGGTGGGGTTTAGGGTCTCTTGCTCAGGAACCCAGAGTGGCAGTCTGTGAGAGTGGGTTTCGAACTCAGAACCTCAGCTCAAGCTCTATGCCCTAACGACTAGGTCACCACTCCCCTTAATATATACATACAGATATATAAACACAGATATATATCTATATGTGTGTGTGTGTGTGTGTGTGTGTGTGTGTGTGTGTGTGTGTGTGTGTGTGTGTGTGTGTGTGTGTGTGTGTGTGTGTGTGTGTGTGTGGTAAATCTGGGCCTCTAAGCACCAGAGCAATAGAGGCTGAAATAGTGTACAAGAACATCTGTGCAGAGTATGGTCAAAGTGGGAAACACCTACAAAGATGGTAGAAAATGACCGGGGTAAGATCCTGTGGGACCTCTAGATACAGACGGACCGAACGGTAATGGCAAACCCACCGTACATTGTAGTGGTGGACAAAAAGCAGAGGAAAGCCGTTGACATAGCAACACCAAGTGACTGCAACACCAGAAAAAAAAAACATGAGAAACTAGAGAAATACCAGGGGCTCAGAGAAGAGCTGGAGAAAACCTGGAAGCTCAAGGCATCAGTGGTACCCGTGGTCATTGGGGCCCTTGGGGGAAAGGGCCCCCAAACTGGAGGAGTGGTTACAGCAGAAAAAAACTGACATTAATTATTACAGTACAGTATAAATCTCTGTTATTTCTTTACATTAGGTTGGTCTATGGAAGTTATTCTCTTATTTATTAGCTTTGTTATCAGTCAGAGATTAGTTAAATAATGAATACTTTTATTTAATTCCAGTTTTTGAGTTTTATGAGTTTGAAGTTTTGTAAAAAAACAAACAAATATTGGAAGGGAATAGTTGAAGGGAAGGCAGAAAGCAGAGACTTATCTGTGCAGTAAGCACAAGGAAAAACAAAAGAAAAAGGTCTGAATTCCTCCAATTTTAATGGAAGAGACCTTCACTGATCCAATAGTGCCTGTGATGTTCATCGCTTTAAACACAAACAGTCTGGAGGAAGGAGCTGTGTCTGTGTTTGTTCTTTTTCATCGTTGGCCCCTGCAGCACCGACCTGGAGGTCTTAGCAGCCTCTTCCCAGGATGGCTGCAGCATCAGCAGAGAGGCTAGCTGCTCATCTGTTACACTGTTACAGCTCAGGGATGGAAGGAAGGAAAAACCTGAGGATTCTCTGCAGATCTAATTGTTCGTGTTTTTGTGAGTAAACTAAAAAAAACAGACAAGCATTAATTTGGATGTAAAATATTTTTTATTCATCAGGTATAAAAAAAAAAATACAAAAATGAAACATTTTATCCTGATTTTTATAATAGAAATGTGCCAAATTAGAGACACTAAGAAAACTGAAACTTACAATGAAATAAAGTCTGTGTGTATTTTGTTTTGAGCTGATGAAGGTGATAAAGGACATCTGTATTGTAAATTATTTCCACAGGATAAATAATTTTGAAATTTTTCCACTTATCAGATTTGAAAGGTTTTGGTCATTTTGTTGGACAAAGAATTTTGGACTGAATGAACACAATCTTATTGGGTGTATTTAATGAGTTTGGTCAGTGCTGTGATGGGGCTACTGATGACAAACAGCGTTATGCTGCAGGACAGCTTCCAACGCCGACAGCGCCGCTGACCAGAACCGCCTTGCTGAAGCTCACTGGGTTCTTGTTGATGGTCAGGTTCTTCATGCAGCCCACATAGGGCCTCCTGGTGGCCACGCTTTCTGGGAGGAAGAGATCTTAGAAGAAGAAGAAACCAGTTAGAACATGTTTGTTACAATAGAAGGAGCAGCAGGAGCTGTGGCCTTACCTGGAGCTCCTCCAATAAATACTGGCCTCTTCGTGTCTGCAGAACGGGGGTTTACGGGTCCTACAACGCGTTGGATCTCAGAGTCCACATCCAGCTGAACCACATTGGCATCCCGGATCACTGAGGGATCAAGAAACATTTATTTAGAGCAGCTGATTTATGCTGAAAACACAGGAAAAATACTGAATACAGAAAAGTAGGAATATTGCAATATTCTCCTGGAAGTTAAATAATCATACAACAAAAAGCTTTTTCTAATAAATACATCCAGATAATATAAACATCTTTTGCTGTTGGGTCATACGTCTGTGGAGAGGCTGTTTGGTTTCTCCAATATAAAGATCAGAGGATTCCTTCTTACATTTCTGATATTTTGAATTGAAAAAGCTTCCTGGATGGGAAGCGAAATGTCTTCAAACTTGGAAACAAAATCCAATGGATTGTTTTTTGGAATGACTATGACCTGGATGACTGAGAATCTTCACCAGCATGTTATCCTCATGGACCGACAGCTTAGTTTGTATTATATAAAGTACCAGTCAAACACTTCAAATGTATCTTGACATTATAATATAGTATACTGTGGAAAGGGGAAGGGATGAGAATTCAAGGCACTGCCTGTCAGCCAAAGCATCCTTTCCTCACCTGTGATGCTGTGCCAGGTGCCGTCACACACGCCCTGCCTTGGTGATACTTTAGTAGAGAACTCATGTGTGCCGTCGTTGACGACAACGACCACCTGGAAGAGGGAAACATGCAGCGTTTTGATGGACTGACCAGAAGGCGCCAGCATGTTCTCAGGGTACCTGAGTTAGGACTCACCGCTCCTTGATGAATGTACATGATGAAATAACCCTCTGCCACCCGCACGTGAAGTAGCACGGCTGACGCCACACACGGTCGCACTTCCATCACTAACTCGAACCTCAAGCCCAGCTCGAAGGATTCATCTGAAGGGATGAAATATTCAGCATGTGAACAGATGTGTGGGATGTCTGGGCCCAGAACCTCAGCCTGTGAGCATGTGAGCAGTCAGTCAGTTCGTTCAGCTTCTATCTAACCCAGATGGAGACATTATAGGGATATCTCTACCCTGTCATCGCCTTCATCTCCCCCTAGAGCTGTAAGGAAATCAACATATTCCACCCAGCTACACATGGTTTTTTTGGCAATTAAATACCATGCTAGGTGGGTTATCTGGTTTTGAAATCAACAAAATCAAGGTCCTCACGTGAAGTAAAAACTATTCACACCCTTGCAGATGTTTCTACACTGTAAAAAATAAAAATCTAGATAAGTAATTCTACATATGATACGTGAATTTGTTCTTGAATTGTGGAGGTAAAAGAAACATCTTGCCAATGGAACAAGACAATTTACATTTAAATTGCATTGTCTTATTTCAAGTGCATTTTATCAAAATATCTTATTTTAAGAGTAAAAATGGTAAATGAGGCAAACTACCAAATTTACCTAGTTAAATTAAGGGTAAATACACTTAATTTAAGACATTTTTCACTTATTTCTAAATCATTTTCCAGTGTAGTAATCATACATGCACTGGAAAAACGATCTAAAAAAGTGTATTTACCCTTAATTTGGGTAGGTAAATGAGGTAGTTTGCCAATGGGATGAGGATTTTACTCTTAAAATAAGATAATTATATAATATGCACTTAAAATAAGACAATGCAATTGCTCACACTGAGCCTGGTTCTGCTGGAGGTTTCTTCCTGTGAAAAGAGAGTTTTTCCTCTCCACTGTCGCTACAAGCATGCTTAGTGTGAGCGATTGCCTTTGAGTCAATGAGTCGATGCAATCAGCTGGTTTTCCTTAGATAGAAAACTTTAATCTGACTGGATGATCTGGTGAACTGTAAAGTGCCTGTTTGATCTGAGCTTTTTTTTTGTAGCTGACTGGACGGGACCGGGCATTCGAATCGACCCGGCTGGTCCTGAGTCAGCCCGGGACGGAGTGACCGATCCCGACCCGGAGACGGTAAGCTTCCGCCCTCCTGCCTTACTGTGCATGGCTTTGGCCACAACTACTGTCACCGGGTCGGGTTCGGTCTCTCCGTCCGCCGTTGGCTCCCTCCACCTGTCCGGATCAGTTCCCGAATCAGCCCCGAAGCTGATGGCTTGGTTCTGCTGCACTGTAGTAGACCAAAACTATGGATGATTTTGAAATTCCCCCCGGACATTTCATTAGGTATGAAAAGTAGGACCTGTCCGGGAAAAAAAGGACGTCTGGTCACCCTAGTCCTGGCATAAATTTGAGTGGCAGAGCGATTGAGCGAACATCCTCCTGAATTGCATGGTGCTCCATTCGATTCAAATGCTCTGGTGTGGACTTTTGGCAGAATACTGACGCCACAAAATGTCTCCTATAAGCTGTGCTGCATGGAGGAGCAGCAGATCTTTCCTGCTAAGCTTTGAAAGCAAGGATTTGATGAAAAGTGGACAGGATCAGGCAAAATGTTCGTAACATGACATAAAAATACATGCTAGCCACTAGCATGGTAGATGGAGAAGGCTTTAGTGAATTGCATCCCTAAATCAGAGCCAAACTGTTGCAGAACAAACAAAGAACAGAACATACCCATAACCACATATCCTCCCTCCTCTGAAAAGTACGTTCCGTCTTCCTTCAGTCCTTCAAAGCACGGGCTGACCCCAAAAGTCTCAGCTGCAGAGGACAGGCGTCGTCCATCCAGCTGAAGGTTCTTCATGCAGCCAGTAAAGCTGTGTGCAGAGTTCCTCTAAAGGAAATACGAACAAACAGGAGATTTGTTTTAAGAGCACAAGCCTGCAGAAATTCTTACCTATTTCCTCTAAAAAGTACATCACAAATGCTAATCTAAAACGTGTGGCAAGCATTTGGATTCAAAGCCTTGCAGGAATGTTTTAATGCGTTTCAGTCCTTTCAGTTGTACACATCTGGACACTGACAGCTTTAAAACGTATTTTCTAAAAAAGCTCAAACAAATTCAGATTTGATGGATAGAACGAATAATGAAACAGATTCCTGATTGGGCCTGATAGGGCCGGCTTTGACTGGACCATTTTAAAGCATGGAAATTCTGGAAATTCTGTTCGCTTTCAGCAAAGAACATCACAGCAAGTCAGTGTAAATGCCCACAGATTCAGCAGATAGTCTTGTCTGCTTTCATGATTCATACAGCTATTATTTCATCCAAATTAAAAATGGAGAACAGAGAAGCAGATCATGGCTTGTCTACAGTGAAAAGAAGGACTGGGTTATTTACTTTGGCCTTTTTGGAAACACAGGAAGGAGCAATCAGCTAAGTGAGCTTAGTGCTTGGAAAAAATCTTTCATTTCTTTAGAGACAGCATGAAAAGTCAGCTGAGTACAAAACATAGAGAGGAAAACAAGTAGAAAAGGGACAAGAAGAGAGGGACACAACCTAGAACAGATAATGGATGTCTATTCTATTAACATTTCTCTATCTGTAGAATGGATCTGTTTTATGTGTTGTCTTCTCAATTAATGATAAACTGCAAAAGATGAGACTTTTTTTAGCAGATGCATCATGTTGACAGATTTTAAACACAGTTTAGTGAGTCAGTCAGTAGAAACAACTCCTGTATCGGTCACATGACTTTCTTGAAATGACATGCACACTGATGCAGTGTTTTCCTCTATGGGCTCTATGCATGCTCCGAAACATCGAGCTTACTGGACCAATCGCTAGCTCTAATCCTTATTTCTGTTTTTTTTTTTCTAAAGCTTTCAAAAAAAGATCAAAATTTTGCTTTAAAATTGACTAAGAATAGTTCATATGTAGTTGTAAAACTAAAAACTATGAAGGTGTGACTCCTACCTTAATGTTCCTTTGTGCTCTCCCAGGAGGAACTCCTCCAACAAAGAGGAAGTCACTGACTTTCCAGACAACCTTGTCTGCCTGAGCTCTCTCTTCAAACACCGTGTGTCTGTCCATCACTAGCCGCCCTGTCTTCCCATCCCGGATGCAAGCAACCTGTAGCCCAGAGACCAGCCGATCAGCTTAAAACACCAGGAAGTTCACATATGCCGTCAGAATCTTAGGATCCAGACTAGTTGAACTCACACTGTGCCAGACGCCATCGTCATATCTCTTCTCTGTCCGAATTTGAACCTTCTGGTCTCCTACATTGAAACTAAACACAAGCTTTCCCTCCACCAGGAAAAGAGCCATGAAGTTGTCCTCTTGCTCATCGGATACATAGAAGATGAGGCCTGAGGCAGATTGGATCTTTAGGGACAGGGACAAGTGGCACCTGGAAGATAAAACCAAAGCGTAGATTTATACAGCGAGCTTTGATTGGACCACTTACTATGAGAAGGTTCTGGGCTTGACCCACCTCTCAGGAAGAGAAGCAGGGACACCTGCGTAGTGCTGCCTGCTGTTGGCAACTCCGCCATAGCGGAAGGCCTGGTGTGTTGATCTAGGACTTGGGGAGAGGTAGCAAGACTGGATGCTGGGCTCTGGTGACTTTTGATCAGAGCTGGTCGGCTCCAGAAGATGACTGGACTTATCTCTGGCAACCTGTGGAAAGCACCGCTACTTAACATCTGGAAGCGCTCAAAAAGAGGTGATCTTTCCAAGGTTGTGGTAGAGCTATAGTTTCTGGGTATGACCCAACCGTGTTTGTTGTACCTTCTGGCTCTGTTTGGCTTTAGACGTTGCCCTGTGTGGTGACATCAGCGCAGCAGGAGGCTGCTGTGCCGGACAGTCCTGCAGAGAAACGTTCACCTTCTCTGTGTACTTCTGGAAGTCCTCCGCCTCAATGTCTCGGTCTTGTCTACAGCGTGACAGGGGAAGAACTGATCAGCATGACGAGCGGAAACATCACCTTGGAAACAGAACAAGACCTCTGAAGCAGAATGGAAGGTGGGGGATTCACCTGTTGATGTACGCATGGCTGATGCAGCCGGTGAAGTTCCTCAGGCTGCTGCTCGGAGACCCGCCGTAGTAGAAGGTCTTTACGGGAGAATCTGAGGAGGACTTCATGGCAGACGCCGGACGCTTTTTCTCCTGCTTGTCTTTGTCATCCAGCAACAGTGAATACCTGAAGCGAACCAGAATGAAGAAGTTACACACAGTGGTGCCAAAACTTAGAGTCTCCATCAATCTCACAAGAGATTGCTGCCCTCTGAATCATGACCTAATATTTGACAACAGAGGCTTCAGAGGCTGTCTGCTTTTTATTAAAATCGAACGCCAACAGAAAGACCCTAACAGAGTAGATTTATTCACAGCCAGCTGTCAGCTGCTGTTGGGGCTCAAAATGGTAGAATTCTCTTAGAACAAAATCAAGACACTGCAGACGATTAACTTCACCTGTCCGCCTCCAGAGTTGGCTGCTGAACCCATGGGTAAGAAATGAATGAACAGACTTTAAAAAACCTGCTCTGGGTTTTGTAAAAAAATCATATCACAGCTGCCTACTGTGCTGTTCATACTTCCTTAGGCTTAAAGAATTTAGTCCCACTGACAGTAAAATTTTTTAAAAGGGGTTTGTGCGTGACTCTTCTCAATATTTCAATGGAATAAAAATCACTTTAGTCATTAATAGGCAAAAATTCATTAATTTTTGAGAAAAAATGTCAAAAAGTCCTCACCCTGGTGAGTAATTACTTCTAGCAGATAGTGACAGAGTCCAAAAAATATTTTCAGTCTCAAAATGACCAAATAAACATGATCAAGACAGCATTTGTTGTAGACTGCTTTATTCTAGCATGCCAGAGGGAAACACTCACCTCTCCTTGCTCACTGAGGCCAGTAAGAAGTGAGTCCTCCCATCATTGTATTGCTTCTTCTGTAATTTGACCTTCACTCCTCGGTTGTTCAGTACTACTGCTCCATTCTCCAGGGCGATGCTGAACTCCTCTGGCTAAGGAGGAACATCGTCTGATCAGTCAGCCAGCAGAAATTATTACTGCAATACTGATCAGGCATTTTGCACATTTCGTTTCAACAAGTTGTTATTGACACAATTAGTTTTTCATATTTTCTTTTCTGATATATATATATATATATATATATATATATATATATATATATATATTTCTTTTATATATATCTATATCTATATCTATATATATATATATATATATATATATATATATATATATATATATATATATATATATATATATATATATATATATATATATATATATATATATATATATAGATATATATATATATATATATATATGAAAATTTATGAATTTTTTTTTTATGAAAATCATTTAGGGGTTAATGTATCTTAGAGCTGTTACAGCCGTAACACCAGGGCTGTTCAGAAAACACCTGGATGCATTGGTCTAAAAGCTTATGAATCAGGAGTGGAGGCAAATCATCAAACCAACAATGTCGTCTCATTTCCTAAAAGTTAAAAACAGGATTATTTCTAGGATTACACACAGGCTGCCATGACTTATACAGTACTGCTAAATACTCTTCCGCTGTTATGGTATTGAAGGATGTATTCAGTTTTAATACACACCAATCATCTCGTTATCATGAGAAAATGGCTTTATTTTATCTTTAGATAATTACATTCTCACATTTATGTGTGTATATATATATATATATATATATGTCTTAAATGTTTTTTTAGTTTGAGTTTAATCTAATACATTCTTCTTTAGATTAGTCTACAAGGAAATCAGCAACAACATTTCTAATGATCAATGTGTGAGTAAAAAGCCAGTCTTTGTAAAGGCTTGAAATGAGAGACTATGGTCTTCAAAATAAACCTGAAAAACAGAGCTTTGAATAAAAATAAAGCATTTAAAATATGTACTTTAAAAATTGTCATCTGTAAAAAAAAATATTTTAATTTAATTTTAATAATAAGATATGGAAAATAGAAAGTAGAAATTTAAGAAATTAACCGGAAAAGCAGCAAATTTGATTTATGAAATTTATGATTATTTTCAGATTGCCGTTTACTAAATGTTTGCTTCCTTGTGAAAATATTGGAACAAAACTTATACTGAGTCAAGAAATAGAGATTTATAAATGGATTTGTGTGTGTGTGAGGATCCGATGTTGTTACCCCTTCAGTGTGGTAGAACATGAGTCCAGTAGGCAGCTGCGTCCTGAAGTTAAACCCTCCTTCAAAGTTGTCAAAAGGGGAGATTTTTGCAGTGGATCCGATGTAGCTGAATCCAGTAAAGTAAGCTTGACGGGACATCTGTCACAGAGCAAACAGTCTCAGCACCCTTCATTCATGACAGTGTTTACTGTCTCATTCTTCCCTGTGAGCTCAGGTACAAAGTGACATGATTTACACTGAAAAAAAGACAGTTAAACTACAATATTTAATGGAAGTTCATTTCTATGGCAAGAAAAACAAATAATGCTAGAACAGAACTGTCACAATAAATAGAATCCATCCATCTATCCATCCATCCATCCATCCATCCATCCATCCATCCGTCTGTCCATCCATCCATCCATCCATCCGTCTGTCCATCCATCCATCCATCCATCCATCCGTCTGTCCATCCATCCATCCATCCATCCATCCATCCATCCATCCATCCGTCTGTCCATCCATCCATCCATCCATCCATCCATCCGTCTGTCCGTCTGTCCATCCATCCATCTGTCTGTCCATCCATCCGTTCGTCTGTCATTCCATCCATCCATCCATCCATCCATCCATCCATCCGTCTGTCCGTCTGTCCATCCATCCATCTGTCTGTCCATCCATCCGTTCGTCTGTCATTCCATCCATCCATCCATCCATCCATCTGTCCATCCGTCTGTCCATCCATCCATCCATCCGTCTGTCCATCCATCCATCCATCCGTCTGTCCGTCTGTCCATCCATCCATCTGTCTGTCCATCCATCCATCCATCCATCCATCCATCCATCCATCTGTCTGTCCATCCATCCGTCTGTCTGTCCATCCATCCATCCATCCATCCATCCATCTGTCTGTCCATCCATCCATCTGTCTGTCTGTCCATCCATCCATCCATCCATCCATCCATCCATCCATCCATCTGTCTGTCCATCCATCCGTCTGTCCGTCCATCCATCTGTCTGTCCATCCATCCATCCGTCTGTCCGTCCATCCGTCTGTCCATCCATCCATCTGTCTGTCCATCCATCCGTCCGTCTGTCATTCCATCCATCCATCCATCCATCTGTCCATCCGTCTGTCCATCAATCCATCCATCCGTCTGTCCATCCATCCATCCGTCTGTCCGTCTGTCCATCCATCCATCTGTCTGTCCATCCATCCATCCATCCATCCATCCATCCATCCATCCGTCTGTCCATCCATCCATCCGTCTGTCCATCCATCCATCTGTCTGTCCATCCATCCATCCATCCATCTGTCTGTCCATCCATCCGTCTGTCCGTCCATCCATCCGTCTGTCCATCCATCCGTCTGTCCGTCCATCCATCTGTCTGTCCATCCATCCATCCGTCTGTCCGTCCATCCATCCGTCTGTCCATCCATCCATCCATCCATCCATCCATCCATCCATCCATCCATCCATCCATCCATCCATCCATCCTTCTGTCCGTCCATCCATCCATCCATCCTTCTGTCCATCCATCCATCCATCCATCCATCCTTCCATCCATCCATCCATCCATCCATCCTTCTGTCCATCCATCCATCCATCCATCCATCCATCCATCCATCCGTCTGTCCATCCATCCATCCATCCATCCATCCATCCATCCATCCTTCTGTCCGTCCATCCATCCATCCATCCTTCTGTCCATCCATCCATCCATCCATCCATCCATCCATCCATCCATCCATCCATCCATCCATCCATCCATCCATCCTTCCATCCATCCATCCATCCATCCTTCTGTCCGTCCATCCATCCATCCATCCATCCATCCATCCTTCTGTCCGTCCATCCATCCATCCATCCATCCATCCATCCATCCATCCATCCTTCCATCCATCCATCCATCCATCCATCCATCCTTCCATCCATCCATCCATCCTTCTGTCCGTCCATCCATCCATCCATCCATCCATCCATCCATCCATCCATCCTTCTGTCCGTCCATCCATCCATCCATCCATCCATCCATCCATCCATCCATCCATCCATCCATCCATCCATCCTTCTGTCCGTCCATCCATCCATCCATCCATCCATCCATCCATCCATCCATCCATCCATCCATCCATCCATCCATCGCAGGGTAACTCAGAGAGACACGGCTATGATCACACACTCCCATCATTGTAGAGGCACCAGCGAACCTAACAGTCATGTTTCTGGACTCCTGCATCTGAAAGTACCCTGAACGTACCCAAGGATGCACTGAAAGAACATTCAACCTCATTGTAGAAGGACCCTACTGTGGAATTCAAACAGAGGACTGTGTTGCTGCATGGCAGTAGTGCTGCATACTGCAGCTAATATTTTCACTCCACTGATTTCACAAGTTCCACAGAAACTGAGTGGAGAAGGAGCGACATTGCCTCTTATATGTTGAGCCCTGAACATTTCCCTAGTGATAAAGTTATCAACATAGAAAAAACACAACATGTCTTTAAGTCTATTTTAACCACTAAAGGTAAAAAATTGGCAACAACAATTAGCTAGGCCCCTATATGGAAAAACATTTACAGTAAAATAAACTACAACATCTTTCCATCTGTCTGAAGGGCCATGCTAGAACATGTTTATCTATGGCTTTATCTGCCAGGGATTCATAATGGCTAAATTTGAATTCAGGGGCTGCGTCCTCCAAAGGCCAGCTTAATCGGCCGATTACACCGAGGCCTGTTGAGATTGCAACACTCTTCGTTAAGCGTATACAAATGCAGCCTTCTTTTTGCCCGTTTTAAAGGACGGGTCCAGTGTACCCTACATAGGCTTGGATATCCCCAGATTCATTGCAAGTCCAAGCAAGCCAGCTGCTCCGTGATCAGAGGAAAAACGTACTTGGTGCCGAACAGTGGTGAATATTGGAAGTGTAGTTTAATATAGTAAGTAAAAAGTATGTGAATAGTTTTCTATGAAATTAATGAAAATTGATATTTAAATGGTTTTAGAGTCAGATATGTGGGGGTAATGTTCTAAAGGTTTTCATCTGTTACTGTGTAAATTGGTTTGGCTGTAATTTAAGGACAGATTCTAATATATCTGCCGTGTGGGGACTATAAATCTGATAGGAGTTTTATTTTTTTATTGCTGTTTTGCACAATTTTCTTAACTAAGTATTTTTTGCTGTTTGGTTAGATTAACTTTCCACCCCTTTTATATCATTACATGTGCTTTTATTTGTTCATGATCCTGGTATTCTCATGAGTGTAGTCTTTGTTCACTTAATAAAAAGAAGAGAAAATAAATAATAAAAAATCTGTATTCATTCTTTTCTTTTCTGTATCAACTCTCACAGTTGCTAAGAGACAGAGCGTACGGCAGTAAAAGCCGCGGAATGCTAGACCTGTTTGAATCCAAAGTCGAACACACCCCTTGTGTGGCTCTGCTGGAGGCTTCTTCCTGTTAAAAGGGAGTTTTTCCTCTCCACTGTCGCTACAAGCATGCTTAGTGTGAGGGATTGCCTCCCAGTTAATGAGGCGATGCAAACAACTGGTTTTCCTTCGATAGAAAACTTTGAATCAATCTGACTGGATGATCTGGTGAACTGTAAAGTGCCTTGACATGACATGTTGTTATTGGAGCTATAGAAATAAACTGACTTGCATAAAATTAAAATATATGTGCTCTCTAGGTGTGTGAGTTGTGTGCTTACAACAGACTCCTCTGGGCAACCGCTGCTAATACCAATGGTTCCAGGCTCCTCCAACAGGTTAAAATCTCTTTTCTGGAACATGAATCCTTTGACGCACCCTTTCAGGCCAACCACAGCAGACAGCTCCACCCTGTGCCGAAACACATCAATGATCTGTGTTCCTTTGCCAGCCTAAAGATGTGTAACTCCCCAATGACTAGTGTTCCGTGGTTTCAGTTATCTTTACCAGCTCACCTGGATTTTAGCAAGCTGGAGGGGGCACCCCCGATGTAGATTTCTGAGAAAGGCAGCGGGGTTCTGGGATTCTCCACAGTTTTAACTAAAGCCTTGTCCACTAGCAGGATAACTTTCTTTAACTGATGGTAAATCACTGACACCTGTTGGAACAATAAAACGGTTAAACTTTGAACCTTAAGTCTGGATCAGGAACAGTTAAAAGAAGCAAAAAGTTGATCTACCTCATGATATTTTGCATCATTTATTTGAAATTTCGGTAAATTGGTGTCCAGAAGTTTTGGTCCATCGCTGAAGCCAAAGTCGTAGGTTAGGCGCGGCAAACCATTCTTTATTTCTAAGAGGAAAAAGTTTTCCTGGAAAGAGAAAGAAACAAATCCGTTAGGGTTTTTCTAGAAAAACACAACCTAACTCCAAATTTGAATATTCTTGTTTGATGAAAATTAATCACTATTTAAATCTTACATCAGATTGCCCTAAAATATTAGAAAAAGGTATTTTCAAACTGAGTTGAAACTCAGCTACATTAGCTGCCATTCAAAATGGCCCTTCCCAGTCAAATGCCAGCCATATGGCAGTCCACTCCTCTGTGACTCCCAGCCAAATCCTCTAAACTTCCAGCCACTGGTCTTCTCCTGGGTGTGCTTTTTTTTTTTACTCTGACTCCACCCTTTCACTGAATTACAGGATCTGACCAGGAGATGATGCTTCAGTTTAGATCCTGATGTCCACAAATCATGACAGAAAGACTATTTTTGTTCAAAGATTAATGTTTAAAAAGGAATTGTTGGGGACCAGCCAGAGACCAGCCAAGGGCCAGTTAAGGACCAGCCAAGGACCAGTCAAGAACCAGTCACGGACCAGCCAAGGGCCATCCGAGGACCAGCCCACGGCCAGCCAAGGGCCAGATGAGGACCAGCCAAGAACCAGCCAAGGGCCAGCCGAGGGCCAGCCAAGGACCAGCCCATGGCCAGCCAAGGGCCATCCGAGGACCAGCCCACGGCCAGCCAAAGTTCAGCCGAGGATCAGCCAAGGGCCAGCCGAGGACCAGCAGAGGACCAGCCAAGGGCCAGCCGAGGGCCAGCCAAGGACCAGCCCATAGCCAGCCAAGGGCCATCCGAGGACCAGCCCACGGCCAGCCAAGGGCCAGCCAAGGGCCATCCGAGGACCAGCCCACGGCCAGCCAAAGTTCAGCCGAGGATCAGCCAAGGGCCAGCCGAGGACCAGCAGAGGACCAGCCAAGGGCCAGCCGAGGGCCAGCCAAGGACCAGCCCATAGCCAGCCAAGGGCCATCCGAGGACCAGCCCACGGCCAGCCAAGGGCCATCCGAGGACCAGCCCATGGCCAGCCAAAGTTCAGCCGAGGATCAGCCAAGGGCCAGCCGAGGACCAGCAGAGGACCAGCCAAGGGCCAGCACAGGACAGCCAAGGACCAGCCAAGAACCAGGCTCATCAAGCAAAAGTGGGGAAATTTTGAATAGGTCCTACTGTAAATGTTTGCCAAGGTTCACCTACCCATGACTGCGTAACTTTTCATCTCTCTGTCACAAACAATCTGCCTGAACGTTCATCCCCCCCTAATAAATCTGCATCAGATTTTAAAGTCTTAATTTGTTCAAAGTTTATTCCTAAAAGCTCCAACAAGGCTTGTTTTTTTTGCCTTCATGCATCTGTAGATAACAGTTCCTCCCTGATACCATCTCTCCATTGAAGAGAGTAACATGAACCACACGACATCCTCCAACCTGAAAGGTAAGGAGCAATAGTCAACATGGTGGCTACAACGGCCTTCTATGTACTACCAGACGTCTTATCTGGAGCTTTTTCATTAAAATTAACAAAACACAAATTATATAATTTCTTTTCTAAGCTGGAAGCAAACAGAACACATTCCACCATCTTGGTTCCAGACCTACCCCGCTGACCATGAGGAAAATGGCACAGTTGTCTGTGACTGTTCGCACAGAAATATCAAAGCGTATGACGGGACCAAACTTCGCTCTTCTCTCGATGTTACTGATGAGTGCATAGCCCGTTCCGTCAAACAGGTAGCTGGCGATGCGACTCTGGGAGAAGGCCAGCTTGTACCTGACAACAGAGGAGAACGTTCAGGTCAGAAGCTGAAAACAGTTTTTGTTTTGTCACCTTTAGGTTGGAACATGAATGAATTCCAGTATCTGCTTCCAGTTCTCTGATGACTGTGTCCCTGCTTCCATTTTAGTCATGCTGCTGGGTTCTGTCTGCTTATCCTGTTTCCTGCAGTTTGCCCAGTGAGTTCACCTAAACTAACATTGAACCCCAGTCGGCCTCAGCAGATGGCCGCTCACACTGAGCCTGGTTCTGCTGGAGGTTTCTTCCTGTTTAAAGGGAGTTCTACACTGTTGCTACAAGCATCTTTAGTGTGAGGGATTGCCTTTGAGAGAATTACTTGATGCAATCAACAGTTTTTTCTTAGATAGAAAACTTTGATCTGACTGGGTGATCTGGTGAACTGTAAAGTGCCTTGAGATGACATGTGTTGTGAATTGGCGCTATAGAAATAAACTGAATCAAATTTAATTAATCATGTGAATCTCTCTCTGCAATTGTCTTCAGATCCTAAAGACTCCAGAGCCAGAATCTACTTTTCATTTATTAAGGAATCTGTGTGGCTCTATCTAAGGGAGCAAACTGCCCCATATATGACCCTGCAAGTAGAAGCAAAGACCCAAAGACCCGCAGATGGATCTATAGAACATGGATCTACAGTATGGAGTGTTGACTGAGCTAAATACAGAGATGCTCATCATATTTCAGATGTCATTCTCTTTTCAACCAATGAAGCAAGACAATGTGTGGTAAAAGGTAAAGAAGTGAGTGTTTAGATAATGCTGATATGTACCTGGGACAAGGAGGTGAGACATTTTTTAGGTGAGTCTCTTTAAAGTTGTACAGGCTGATGACATCGTTGTTGATAGAAGCCAACTCGATGCAGCCCACGAAAGGAGCGAGAGTCAGAGGAGGAGGCAGCTGGTTCAGAAAAGAAATAAAATGAATGAGAACAGCATTTTGCACCATTTTTCGGGTGAATTTTGTTCCATTACTGTCGCAAGCAAAGAATATATTTTGTAAATGGACTTTTGAGAAAGCATGTTTTTTAAACTGAAATTTGAAGACTGCAATCCAGAAATGAAACTTTGAAAACTTACACATTTATTCTCGTAATTAATTTTTAAAATTTTGAAATCCATTTTCTTTCAAGATTTTGGGGAAATTAAGGAACTTTGTCAAAATCGTCACCTTGACGTCTGGGGGGGCACCTCCGATGAAGAACGCCACATTCTTGGGGTCGATGTCGAACAAGGAGTCGGTGATGGGAGCGTTGCCTTTCTGGATGAATTTCTGCTCATCTGTGGAGCCCTGACTGGGAATAGTCAGGTAGATTTTTCCATGTCGTCCCAGCCTTCAGAAACAAGAACATAAATGAGCCTAAATCTAATGAACATTTTTCAGGATCTGCTTTTCTTCTGTTTTACAAGGCGCATGTGGCCTTAAGACCAGCGTTTCTGACACACAGGGAGCCTATGTGAACGTTCTACCTCATAATAATGATGTTTTACTGAATTGAACAGAGACGTAATGAACTGGGTCCCTTAAGCCATACTGTCATTTTAAATAAGCTCTGAAAAATTCAGTAACTTAAAGCTTTCTGCTGTCACAGTGGCTCCTTTTTTCCGTATGCAACAAAGAACCTCTGCAGTAATCTACCAATCAGGCCTTTATGGCAGAGTGGCTAGATGGAGCCCCCTCTGGAACAGAAGGCAGAAGGCAGCCGGTCTGGAGTTCAACAAATGGCTCCTGAAGGACTCTCAGACCATGAGGAAAAACACTATCTGGTCTGATGAGACAGAGACTGAACTAATAAGAGTGAATGCTAAGCAGCCCATTACCGGGCCGATACCATCCCTACACAGAAGCACGGCGGTGGCAGCATAGCGAATTGCTGCTTTTTCAAATTGTGTTTTCCTGATTACATTCTCTTCAAATCTGGGGGCGGGCTTTCCTCTGAAGCGAGCCATAAAGATGCATTTCTATTGGTCTGCAGGACATTGGCAGCAACATTTCTTATTGATCAATAGTGAATCACTTTTTATGGGCTTAAAGTGAAGAGAATGTAATCTGTGAGATTCCACTTCATGTATCCCTTGGGATTACTCCTTCAGGGACAAACTATCAAGTGTTTTGCATGTTTTAAGTGTTTATTATGACATTAAAGGAGCTAAACTTCTTGCTAAATTGATCAGATTATTTTATCAATAATCAACAGACTTTGTTCCAGGTGTTCTGTGTTTGCTCTGGCAGCTGGTTTACCTTTCTATTTTGATATAGTTAAAGACAGCCGGCCACTGACTGACAGGCTTGGAGGACAGCGGGATTTCAACATCGTCACGTCCCAGGTTGTAGACAAACACCAGCTTGTCGTTCTTGATGGCCAGGCCCATGTAGTCCTTCTTGCCCTGAAAGCAGAAACAGACACAAATCCTTCTCCTCCAGTTTCATTTCATCTGATTGGCTGAGGAGCCGTAATGTGAGCGGATGTTCCGCACTTAGACTGATGGGAAAGACGCTGCAGAACTACTTCGTATACATTGGTTAGAGGCATCTAATATTATAATTGTCATGATTATGGTTTTGTTTAAAATATATATGAGTTTTCATTGGTCTTAATTCCATTTTGTGTTCTAGTTATTTTTGATTGTATTTGAGTTCTTAGATATTTCTTGTTTGCCCTCTTGTGTCAGTCTCCTTTCTCCTAGCTCCCTTCTTGTCTCCTCTGTTCACACCTGCTCCCAATCTGCTAATTAGCCTCATCTTTGTTTCTCTCTCCCATATATTCACCTCCTGTTCAGTCACTCTTTGCTGGTTTGTCGTCATTTTTTTTCAGTATTTTGGGATTTTGTGCATTTATGTTTTTGGATTTGTGCTTCTGTTACCCTTTTGGTTAATTAAATATAGTAAGAAACCACTTCAGCTTCAGTGTCTGCATTTGGGTCCTGTCAAACCTCCACCTGTTGGGATCTGGAGATCTGCCACCTTTCTCCAGAGGGTGCCCTGGGTCTCCTGAGCTTAAGCCACCTGCACACCTGAGGCTGATCATCCCATCAGGAGACCAACTATATAAGCAGAGGCTTGACTTCTCTTCAGTGCCAGAGTGTTGAATAAGTCAAGGGTAGCCAACCTGAGCCAACCAGTCTGCCTGACTCTCTGACTCTACTGAAACCTTGAACCTGATCCTGATCAGTTTTGTCCTCTCTGTTCTTCTAGGAAGATCCTGACTGAAACCTGGAGCTCTGGTGGAGCTCATGTTTGGAAACCAGCCTGCCTGCTCTGATAAGCCAAACCTGAAGATCTACCGTCTGCATCTGTCTGTCAGTTCTCTGGAGAGAACTTGGAGATCTACTCAAGGTCTGAACCTCACAAGTCTGAAGCCAGTACGGACGCATAATAAATCTCTGTTTTTGCTAAAACTGCCTCTGCCTCAGCATCTTAACTCCACAGTTACTTGAAAAAACATTATTTTACAGCTTCATACCTATTTCATAACAGGTTGAAGGCTCTCAGGTTGCAAAACTATAAAATTCTAAAACATTTAATTTGCTTTCATTTTACTGTAATTGTGCAGTAACTAAGTAACAGCACTAACTCAAGTAACTAGTACCTATAACTAGTTACTTTTTTCTAAAGTAATGTTAAAAGCACTGAAATTAAACACCTTTAAAAGGGTAATTATTTTATTTAAAGTGTGTAACAGCATATTTCATTGCTATCAATATATAAAAAATCAATATTTTAAATATACCTTTAAAAATGGATCATTTATTCCGTTCATTTCTACGCTGAGCTTTTTAGTTAGACAGAAAAAAGTCTTAAAGTTAAGTTTTAAAACCTGTTTTATATATCAATTTGATTTCATAATTATGTGTTAAAACAAGTTATATTTCATAATAACGAATAATAATATGTTATTATGATTGGAAAAAATTTCAATACATGTTTTCTCAATAATTCTGAGCCCCTGAGAGAGCATTAGAGGATTTCTGGAGAGGAATAGATGAAGTCCGGCTTTGAATGAACACAGCTGAACATCTGTCTGCTGCGTTTCCTGGAAACCAGTAAGAAGGTCCAAACTTTTTCACCCTAACTGCCAAGATTACAACTAAATTTCCACGACTGCTAGCTGCTGCTTTGCTTTTTATTTTTGCCATATCCGCTGGATCTGAATCAAGGTTAACTACTTTTTTCATACTACTGATGACCCTGAGCAACAAAACTGAATCCATTTGTATTTCTTACATTCCTGTCCCCCAGATACAGGATGAAGCGGTCCTCTATGGGGTCTTTGTCTGGGTCCACCCTCATGAACAGGCTGATGGATGTCGACGTCTTCAGCTCCTCCAGGTTGCTGGGTGGCTGAACCTCCACTGAAGACTGTCCATTAAACTTCACAGAAACCTGAACCTGAGGCCACAAGGAATCAAAATGTGTTAGAGGAAAACAAAGATAACAGGAGGATAGGTAAAGGTGGACAGAAGGTGGACCAAGATTTGGATCAAATCGTAGTCAAACGCTTTTATTTGTTGTCCTAACTTACACCCAGAACAACATGGGACAGTCTGCAGGTTATTTAATTCAACAGCGTAAAGTTAGAACAGTGTAATTATCCTGGATCAGAAGGTTAAAAGATGCAATGGTTGGAACAGCCGTTTCCCTACGACTTTAAGTCAAAAATATGTAAATTAACTCAATAATGAATGTATATTGACCTAATACATTTCAATTAAACCTAATTGAATAGAAATTTCACTTCATGCAGCTCTCTTAATATATTTGAATCCCTTGCCGTGTTATTTTATTTCATGCTTTTCTGTGCCCCCATGAAAACTCGTATGCCCCCTCCCAGCCCCCTGCTACATTTGGTCTAGCACCGCCACTGCTGAAACTGGATTCACAAAAGTAATAATGACTTTGGGGGCGGGCAGGTTGGTGTTGTGATTGGTTATTTTTATTGCTGCTAACTCAGACAGGCCTCCTCTTTAAAATAGATGATATCTCAGTGGGACTTCCTGACTAAATAAAAGTCAATGAATAATGAAAAAAAGGTTAGTAAATAGTCTTGTTTTATGCAGTTTATAATGATGTACTCCACTGTTATTGTGAAGCGGCATATAATCAAACACAAAGGCAGTGAACTGACTTTCTTGGCCACGCTCCTGGCTTGTGCAATGAGTTCTCTGATCCTCATGATGTTAGTGGTCACGTTGTTGACAGGCTTCTTCTCTTCAACCACCTTCAGCTTGTCGAGCAACTCAGGGACGAGCACGTTCAGGTTCTCCACTGCAACACACACAGAGGAACCATGTGACGCATGTGCAGCATAAATATTCTCACCACCACAACGACGTTTGTAGGAACTAGTCCTTTATTTGTGAGGATATTACCTAACAATAACGTCTTTCATTACTAATAGGGGAGTGGCGGCCTAGTGGTTAGGGCATAGAGCTTGGAATCCTGAGGTTCTGAGTTTGAACCCCACTCCCACAGACTGCCACTCTGGGTCTCTGAGCAAAGACCTTTAACCCCACACTGCTCCCTGGGCGCTGCACAATGGCAGCCCAGTGCTCCCCAAAGAGATGGGTTGCAGAGTGTGAATTTCTCCAATGCTCCAATAAAGTTCAATTATTATTATTAGAAAATTATTACATTGAAGACTAACAAATTCATTGGTAATCAGAACACAATACAGAAATCTATTTACCCCAGCTCTGGAGCCACAGTCTTAATTCTGGACCCAAAGTTTAGCCCCGAGCAAAAGATTTCCCCCATTTTTATACTCAAGCAACACCCTGTCAGGATGCAAACACACCCCACCCACAAAGTTCCCTAATAAGGTCATATCTGGCAGTGATATGGTCACCCTGCATGTAACATAAAGCAGAGTATACAGTATACAAAAGAGGCCAAAAGGGTTGCTAGTTGTAAACTCTGTGAGCAGGACCCTTACCCCCAGGATGCTCCATGTTTGCTACTCTCTGATGGATCGGTTAGATGCAGAGGTACAAAGTAAAGGGATTTTTATTAATACTATCAGATAACTTTTTACCTGCTTCTCCAGCAGACAAAACGGCCTTTTCATATGCAGCTGTAGAGTACTCGCTGTTTCTCATGTTTTGAGACCACTGCTGCACTCGTTCGCTGATGGGAGTGATGGTCTTCAGGACTTCTGTGGAGCGGATGAGAGTCTCCTCTGCCACCTCCAAGGAGAAGTTCAGGCGCTGGGGGGTTCTGTCTGTAAATGGTTGCAGATTAATGGGAAACAGAACAGAGAACTGCAGGAAAGAGAACTGTACAAGTCCCGGTTAGCGAGGAGGTCGGCTGCGATGACCCCCTCTTATTGTTTGTGGTAGTGTGGACCGCTCTAGTGTGCAGATGAGCGGAACTACAGTCAGGAGGACAGGATAAAGGCAGACTAAGAGGTAACTTGCAGCTGTGACATGTTTTACCTAATAAGCAGTACTCAAGTTGAGGGGGGATGAGGGGGGATGGCTGTCCCTTCTTAAAAAAAAAAATCTTTAAAATCATCCCTTCTTTAATAACAACCCCCATACCATCACCTGTGACATTTTATTACTGAAAGTGTAAAATTTCTACTAGTAATGGCAAAAATATTGACCTTTCAACATTTGGCAGACTGAGGGCTTAAGGCCAATTACTGCTTGTGATGCATAGTGTTAGGTTTATTCAATGATGATTATAAAATTAATGTGTGTGTGTGCTTATGAAACATTTGAGTAGGGAGATGCTTCACTTTGTCTTGTGATTCAGTCGATGGAGCATCCTGTATTATGAACTGATCAATTGTTCTGTCAGAAGAATACTGTTTTGTAACCATGTGTTATTTTCTGTTAATAAAAGACGGACTGCAGGAGGGGGTCGGAGGAAAGCGCTGGAAGTTGGGTTGGTCTTTTTCCACTCCTGCAGGAGGTGTTTGTATCTCTTTCCTGTGTAGACTCAGTTTCTCTTTTACGAACCTACATTATCATTATTATTTGAACCCAACACATAGCCTCTGCAACCGACAAATCTGTCTCTGTGAGCGACCACACGCCCACACGCCCACACACAGGTTCTGCAACCGTCGTCGCGCACATAAAAAAAATCCTGACAAAGCATCGGACAGTTGCAAACCCGCATTGACAAAAAGCAGCTGTGATGGGTCCTTGGTATCCCTTTCCGGCTGTCTGTGTGGTCGTCCTTCTCGATTTGGTGCCGGGGCGCGCCATTTTTAAAAACCGATGAACAACTACAACGGACAAATAAGACGAAAGGTTAATCGGTCTTTTTGCCAACTCCATTAACAGAACCTGTTACTCTTTGATGTCTAGCAACTCTAGATCCATCTCCGTCACCGCAATATCTTCCAGACGCACCATTGTTGTTTTGGAAGATAAACACTCCCGCTGCCGCCGCTAAAGTTCTTGCTAGTTCTCGAATAGGCCCCCCCTTATGCTTTGGAGGGAAACTGCTGTGCGTCCCTAGAAATTCCAGACCGACGGTGCAGAAGCATACCAGCAAAACTGGTTTGTGACCAGAAGCAAGCGACATTTGATGTATAATCCGCCCTTTATGAGTAGCCTGAGCAAAATCAATCAAATCAAAGAAGTGTTCTGCCATGACTAATGAAGCTGATCCCAGTGGGAAATTAGTCCCTAACTATGTATCTGGGTTAATTGTGGCGCAGTGGGTAGCACTGCTGCCTTGCAGCAAGAAGGTTCTGAGCATGGGTGGGTTCTCTCTGGGTACTCTGGCTTCCTCCCACAGTCCAAAAACATGACTTTTAGGTTAATTGGCTTCTCTAAATTGTCCTTAGGTGTGAGTGTGCGTGTGTGAATGGTTGTGTGTCTCTGTGTTGCCCTGTGATGGACTGGCAACCTGTCCAGGGTGTACCCCGCCTCTCGCCTATTGACAGCTGGAGATAGGCACCAGCACCCCTCGCGACCCCAATTGGGACAAGCGTGTCAGATAATGGATGGATGGACGGTTTGTGATTCAGCCCTTCTTACCCTTCTGAATGACCCTGATGTCTTTCGCCACCTCTTCCAGTTTTTCCTGAATGTTCTCATTGGCAAGCCGGGTTTCCTCGATGTATGCCACACCGTCGGCCACTTGAGTCAGCACATCTGTGACAGGGTGACATACTGAGAATCAGCAGCACACTGGACAGCATCACGTAAAGGCGATTGAGGACTTTCCTTACCATGCTGTTCAGATCGTAATGAAACAGATTTCAGGAAGGTATTTTCACTCTGTGTCACCAGATAATCAAGCTGGGTTTTAATCCCACCGATGGCCTTAAACACAAATAACACAAAAGTCACGCTGGTGCCTGGATGTAACATAACCTGGAAGGCGAATGCTGGTTTGTGTCACTCAGTCGTACATCTTCTGCTCTCTGAGATGAGTTGAGCGTAGTGAGTGAAGTGATGTTGGCATCATCGATATATTTCACGATGTTGTTGTAAACATTGGCGGCGCTTATCGCTCTCTGAACAAAGCCATTGGCATCGCTTTCTTTCAGATCCCTGCAGGAGACATGGACGAAATTCAACAATCACATTTTAAGCTAATTAAATGATTTAATAATAAGGGTGGAAAAAAACAACAATCCACCCCCATTGTCTTTATCTGCTCTGTTTAAAATCAAAACCCCAGAAAAAGTCATTTATTTGGACTCGTTGAAGTTTCTCACTCCTCCAGCTCATTGGCTTGTGTTTCCAGCTCAGCAGCATGATCGTCCGCCTTCTGAACCAGATCTCTGTCCGCCAGCGAGAGCCGCTCCATCTTCTCTGTCAGCCTCTGATCGGCGCCGTCTATCTCAGCGTGGTATCCTCTCACACTCTGCACATGGACCATGCAAATATACAGTAAACACAAACATGCAGCAGAAACCAGAAACTTCCATAGAAAAAACGGTTTCTAAGATGAACAATATTACTAAGGGGCGTCATTTCTAAACTTAAGTAGTCAAAAATTAGAAGCAATAATTATGACTTTTTGGCGTGCTTTAAGAAAAACATAAGGGTTTTTTTTTTTCCTATTCATTTTTTCACTCTCATTAATTAATTTATAAATACCTTACTTTGTCAAATAAATATTTAGCTTGGAGCTAAATATTTAGTTTGCAAATTAAACATTACGTTTGTTAAATAAATATTGAGCTTCAAACTAAGTATTTTGTTTGCAAATTAAATACTTAGCTCCAAAATAAATATTTTGTTTGTTAAATAAATACTGAGCTTCAGAGTAAATATTTAGTTTGTTAAATAAATATTTAGATTCAAACTAAATATTTATATTGCAAATTAAATGTTAAATTTGTTAACTAAATATTTAGCTCCAAATTAAATATTAAGTTGGTTGAAGAAATATTTAGCTCCAAAACTAAGTATTTAGCTTTTTAAAATAAATATTTAGCTTCAAACTAAATATTTAGTTTGCAAATTAAATATTTAGCTCCAAACTAAATATTTAGTTTGTTAAATAAATATTTAGCTTCAAACTAAATATTTAGTTTTTTTTAAATAAATATTTAGCTTCAAACTAAATATTAAGTTTTTTAAATAAATATTTAGCTTCAAACTAAACATTTAGTTTGCAAATTAAATGTTAAATTTGTTAACTAAATATTTTGATCCAAATTAAATATTTATTGAACAAACTGAATATTTTGCTAGCTTGATGCTAGCGAAATATTTAGTTTGTCAAATAAATATTTAATTTGGAGCAAAATATTTATTGAACAAACTAAATATTAATTTGGAGCAAAATATTTACTGAAAAAACTAAATATTTAATTTGCAAACTAAATATGTAGCTCCAAACTAAATATTTATTTAACAAAGTAAGATTTTTTATAAATGAATGAATGACATAGTGAAAAAATTACTTGGAATAAAATAAACCCCATTCATGCACACACTCATGGTGGTGAGCTATATCAAATCCACCGCTGCCCTGGGGCTCACTGACAGAAGCCAGGCTGCCGTACACTGGCGCCACCATCTGACCACCATCAGAAGGCAATGCAGGTGATGTGTCTTGCCCAAGGACACAGAGACACTGAAAGCCAGAGCCAGGGCTCAAACTGACAACCCTTCGACTGCAGCGCAAACTACTGCACCCGACACCACTGCCACCATAAAACATTAGATTTGTTAGAAGTGTCTGTCAGACTTTATGGCTTGGGTCTAATTCTCTTCCAGTCTGATGACATTTTGGCCCATTCCTCCAGAATATATAGATCTAACGGTTCCCACTCACCTGTGTCAAAGCGTCCACCTCAGCCATGGTCCTCTCAGCTTCAGAGATGAAAACTCTGCTTGTCTCCAGGGTGTCGTTTACAGGCAGCTGGTCCTCCGTCAGCCTCTGCTGTTTTTCCTGGAGACAGAGAATAACATTGCTGCACATTTTGATTCTGTTGCTCTAAGAAAATCCTTAGAATCACAGGTTGATGCTTCAGCATCATGAGTATGGAGGGAATTTAGTTCCATTATTCCTGCAAGCAAAGAACATGTTTTGTAATCCGGAAAAGATTCAACCCAAAAATTAAACCTTGAAAGATATTTTATTAAAAGAAAGTTTTGAGAGTAACTTTGCAGTTTTCTCTGATTTTGTCCTGATTTTTTTTCATTTTTTTCCCCAACGGATTTTCTGTTTTCAATTATTTCTCATTTTCAGAATGAATTTCTTTAAGATTTTCTTTACTATGGGGTGGGGGGATAGGAGGAATGAAGACATTTCTATTGGTCTGTGTGGGTGTTAGGAACAACATTTGCGATTGGTCATTGATGATCATTTCTATGGGGCTTGGAGTTGAGGGAATGTGATCTTGAAAACCCAAAAATATAAAATATTTTAAAGAAATAGATACAGAAATGAAAATTTGAAAAAACAAAATATGAAAAATTTATAAAAAACAAAAACAAAAAAGAAATTACAGAAAATACAAAGTTACTTTCGACAATTAAAATGTGTTTCAAAGTTTTGTGTCTGGATTGGATGTTTTTTCAAATTTCAATTATTATGGACACACTGGATAACATAAAATTCACTCCATGCATGATCTGAGTCCAGCTCAGAAGTTTAGACCCTAAACCATAGAGAAAAAATGCAGAATGTTTTTGCATGACCATGATGATAAAAAAAACTGAAACGTCTCACATCTGGATCCCTTTAGAAAGACCCAGACAGAAAATCTCAAATTTAGACCATTCTTTGCATTTACGGTAGAAAACATTTCTGTCCACTACGTTTTCCCTTCAGAATCTGTTAATGTGGAGCAATCCTCCCATGAAGCAGAAGGGAATGTGTAATGTGGGCTCTGGGATGAACTCGTGCAAACTCTAAACTGTGTTTCACTGCAACATTTGAAACCCTGCTTAGCAGAAACAACAGCTAGGTGTGGCTGTTGGAAACGTTTTTACCCTCCTGATGTGGAGAGGCTGCAGTAGTCCTAATTACCTCCTACAAATAGGTTATGTTTTTAGGAGAGATTTTGTGTCTGTCTGAGTACAGGAGAACTTGAAAAGTAATGGACAGATTTTAATGAAAGTTTTATCAGTTAAAGGAACCTGCCAAGGAACAATCCCTTACATTTTTGTGATGACCAGATCATAATCTGAATACAGGACATTTTTTTTAAAGGATTCTTTAACCTTAGTCCTCAACGCAGCTGACCCAGGTTCGAATCCGACCTTTGGTCTTCAGTACTCGAGTTGAGGGGGGCTAAGGGGGGATGGCATTCTCCTTCTTGAAAAAATCTTAAAACTCCTCCCATACTGTCCCCTGTGACATTTTATTACTGAATGTGTAAAATTACTACTACATATTAACAGTAATTTCAACATTTAGCGGGCTGTAGGTGACGAGTAGCCTGAGCAAAATAAATCAAATCAAAGAGGTGTCCTACCAGGACTATGAAGCTGATCCCAGTGGGAAATTAGTCCCTAACTGTGTAGGAGCAGTAATAGCCATGCTAATTATGTAGGGGCAATGATAGACATGCTAACTATGTAGGGGCAGTGATAGCCATGCTAACTATGTAGGGGCAGTGATAGCCATGCTAACTATGTAGGTGCAGTGATAGGCATGCTAACTGTGTAGGAGCAGTGATAGCCATGCTAACTGTGTAGGTGCAGTGATAGGCATGCTAACTGTGTAGGAGCAGTGATAGCCATGCTAACTGTGTAGGTGCAGTGATAGGCATGCTAACTGTGTAGGGGCAGCGATAGCCATGCTAACTATGTAGGGGCAGTGATAGCCATGCTAACTGTGTAGGTGCAGTGATAGGCATGCTAACTGTGTAGGGGCAGCGATAGCCATGCTAACTATGTAGGGGCAGTGATAGCCATGCTAACTGTGTAGGTGCAGTGATAGGCATGCTAACTATGTAGGAGCAGTGATAGCCATGCTAACTGTGTAGGTGCAGTGATAGGCATGCTAACTGTGTAGGGGCAGCGATAGCCATGCTAACTATGTAGGGGCAGTGATAGCCATGCTAACTATGTAGAGGCAGTGATAGCCATGCTAACTATGTAGGGGCAATGATAGACATGTTAACTATGTAGGGGCAGTGATAGCCATGCTAACTATGTAGGGGCAGTGATAGCCATGCTAACTATGTAGGTGCAGTGATAGGCATGCTAACTGTGTAGGAGCAGTGATAGCCATGCTAACTGTGTAGGTGCAGTGATAGGCATGCTAACTGTGTAGGGGGCAGTGATAGCCAAGCTAACTATTTAGGGACAGCAATAGCCATGCTAACTATGTAGGGACAGTGATAGCCATGCTAACTACGTAGGTGCAGTGATAGCCATGCTAACTATGTAGGGGCAGTGATAGCCAAGCTAACTATGTAGGGACAGCAATAGCCATGCTAACTATGTAGGGGCAGTGATAGCCATGCTAACTGTGTAGGGGCAGTGATAGCCATGCTAACTGTGTAGGGGCAATGATAGACATGCTAACTATGTAGGGACAGCAATAGCCATGCTAACTGTGTAGGGGCAGTGATAGCCATGCTAACTATATAGGGGCAGTGATAGCCATGCTAACTATGTAGGGGCAGTGATAGCCATGCTAACTATGTAGGGACAGCAATAGCCATGCTAACTGTGTAGGGGCAGTGATAGCCATGCTAACTATGTAGGGGCAGCGATAGCTATGCTAACTATGTAGGGACAGCGATAGCCATGCTAACTATGAAGGGGCAGTGATAGCCATGCTAACTATATAGGGGCAGTGATAGCCATGCTAACTGTGTAGGGGCAGTGATAGCCATGCTAACTATGTAGGGGCAGTGATAGCCATGCTAACTATGTAGGGACAGCAATAGCCATGCTAACTATGTAGGTGCAGTGATAGCCAAACTAACTATGTAGGGACAGCAATAGCCATGCTATCTATGTAGGGGCAATGATAGGCATGCTAACTATGTAGGAGCAGTGATAGCCATGCTAACTGTGTAGGAGCAATGATAGACATGCTAACTATGTAGGGACAGCTATAGCCATGCTAACTGTGTAGGGGCAGTGATAGCCATGCTAACTATATAGGAGCAGTGATAGCCATGCTAACTATGTAGGGGCAGTGATAGCCATGCTAACTATGTAGGGGCAGTGATAGCCAAGCTAACTATGTAGGGACAGCAATAGCCATGCTAACTATGTAGGGGCAGTGATATCCATGCTAACTGTGTAGGGGCAGTGATAGCCATGCTAACTGTGTAGGGTCAGTGATAGCCATGCTAACTGTGTAGGGGCAGCGATAGCCATGCTAACTATGTAGGGACAGCAATAGCCATGCTAACTGTGTAGGGGCAGCGATAGCCATGCTAACTATGTAGGGGCAGTGATAGCCATGCTAACTGTGTAGGTGCAGTGATAGGCATGCTAACTGTGTAGGGGCAGCGATAGCCATGCTAACTATGTAGGGGCAGTGATAGCCATGCTAACTGTGTAGGTGCAGTGATAGGCATGCTAACTATGTAGGAGCAGTGATAGCCATGCTAACTGTGTAGGTGCAGTGATAGGCATGCTAACTGTGTAGGGGCAGCGATAGCCATGCTAACTATGTAGGGGCAGTGATAGCCATGCTAACTATGTAGAGGCAGTGATAGCCATGCTAACTATGTAGGGGCAATGATAGACATGTTAACTATGTAGGGGCAGTGATAGCCATGCTAACTATGTAGGGGCAGTGATAGCCATGCTAACTATGTAGGTGCAGTGATAGGCATGCTAACTGTGTAGGAGCAGTGATAGCCATGCTAACTGTGTAGGTGCAGTGATAGGCATGCTAACTGTGTAGGGGCAGTGATAGCCAAGCTAACTATTTAGGGACAGCAATAGCCATGCTAACTATGTAGGGACAGTGATAGCCATGCTAACTACGTAGGTGCAGTGATAGCCATGCTAACTATGTAGGGGCAGTGATAGCCAAGCTAACTATGTAGGGACAGCAATAGCCATGCTAACTATGTAGGGGCAGTGATAGCCATGCTAACTGTGTAGGGGCAGTGATAGCCATGCTAACTGTGTAGGGGCAATGATAGACATGCTAACTATGTAGGGACAGCAATAGCCATGCTAACTGTGTAGGGGCAGTGATAGCCATGCTAACTATATAGGGGCAGTGATAGCCATGCTAACTGTGTAGGGGCAGTGATAGCCATGCTAACTATGTAGGGGCAGTGATAGCCATGCTAACTATGTAGGGACAGCAATAGCCATGCTAACTGTGTAGGGGCAGTGATAGCCATGCTAACTATGTAGGGGCAGCGATAGCTATGCTAACTATGTAGGGACAGCGATAGCCATGCTAACTATGAAGGGGCAGTGATAGCCATGCTAACTATATAGGGGCAGTGATAGCCATGCTAACTGTGTAGGGGCAGTGATAGCCATGCTAACTATGTAGGGGCAGTGATAGCCATGCTAACTATGTAGGGACAGCAATAGCCATGCTAACTATGTAGGTGCAGTGATAGCCAAACTAACTATGTAGGGACAGCAATAGCCATGCTATCTATGTAGGGGCAATGATAGGCATGCTAACTATGTAGGAGCAGTGATAGCCATGCTAACTGTGTAGGAGCAATGATAGACATGCTAACTATGTAGGGACAGCTATAGCCATGCTAACTGTGTAGGGGCAGTGATAGCCATGCTAACTATATAGGAGCAGTGATAGCCATGCTAACTATGTAGGGGCAGTGATAGCCATGCTAACTATGTAGGGGCAGTGATAGCCAAGCTAACTATGTAGGGACAGCAATAGCCATGCTAACTATGTAGGGGCAGTGATATCCATGCTAACTGTGTAGGGGCAGTGATAGCCATGCTAACTGTGTAGGGTCAGTGATAGCCATGCTAACTGTGTAGGGGCAGCGATAGCCATGCTAACTATGTAGGGACAGCAATAGCCATGCTAACTATGAAGGGGCAGTGATAGCCATGCTAACTATATAGGGGCAGTGATAGCCATGCTAACTATATAGGGGCAGTGATAGCCATGCTAACTATGTAGGGACAGCAATAGCCATGCTAACTCCTGGGCTGGTTCTAAGTGGTCAGCTTTAGTTTGGGTTTATCAGAAACCTTTGAAGACACACCATTTCAGGCAGCTAGCATTCATGACGATGGACTCCTATTTGTCTTGATTTAGCTTTTATTTGGAACAAGGAAAAGGAAGGTATCCTGTTAGTGGCTTAGATGGTTCCCAAACATTGACTTTTACTGTCTTCATTTGCATTTTCCCCTCATGAAGAAAGAATGTGCCTGTGATTCAGCTGGCTTCTCTGTGGGAATCTCAAGCTTTGCTCATATGGAGATGACATCATGAGAGCAAACTTGTGCATTGCAGACCAACTCCCACATATGGTTTAATGTTTCTGTTCTCACCACTTAAGATGAACTGATAACAGAGGGCTCAAACATGTGCAACAAAATGGAAAGTCAAGATAGGGGTCATGGCTTTATGTTAGGACCTATCTTAACTACAGCGTTACAACCACCGGTGCAAACATCAAAAACCAGAACAGATGTGTTGCTGCAAGATAAACCACCTCCTTCCTTTCGAACTTGAGCAGGCTGGCTTTGTTCTTGTCCTCTGCTTCCTGCACAGTTCCAGCTGCATCAAGGAGAAATTTCTCAGCCTCCGAGAGTCGGCTGGAGAAACGGGACAGGATCTCTCTGATTGAAGGCAGGCGGTTCTCTGTGATCATCAGCTTCTTCTCCATTTGGCGAATACGCGCCAGCACTGCATAAATAACAATCAAATGTTCATTCACTACAGCTAGTTTTCATGGGACAATATTGATTCATTAGCTGTGGTAGTTAAAGTTACCCAAACTAAGCACTCAGTGAAATACTTACTTGGAAAAAACCCACATTTGTTTGGTACAACATAACGATTTTCTCAATCGTTGCACGCCGCTGCAGCTCACACTGTAATATATCATTCAAGGGCTCATCTAATTGGTCAAATGCCAAAATAAGATGTACAGCCATGTAGCAGGAACTGGATATAGATCTTGTGTTTCTAGACCTCACTGAGGGACGGGAGGACTCCATTTGTAAGGAGTATGCAAGTGATCAAAAGAGCTAACTTGCCCTATAAAGGTTTAATGAAATGAAATGGTGAATCGAACCAACTACAGCTCCCCCCAGTGAACACTTTGAAGAGGCAAATCTTTGTACATGGACAAAATTTCACCTTTCGTTTGCATTGAATAGGATTTATTCCTCACATTCATGGGCCTTTGTTGCTTCATTCCTGGCAATGGGCTCCTGTGTGGACAAGTCCAGCTGTCTGATCCACGATATCATCTCTTGGGCCATCTCTGTGCTACGTCTGACCTCCTCTGGATCCATATCCTGCTGGATATTGTACAGTTCCCAGTCATGGATCATATCTGTGGACACACACACAGAAACACACAAAAGTCTATTAGGGTTTCACCTCCTAGGGGGCTCAAAATGGTGCTTTGATTTATTTTTTTAACAGTTATTCCAAAAATGCAGATTTTAAAGCAACACTGAGTAACTTTTGGCCACTAAGGACTCTAGCCTATTGACATTCCCCTAATTTTAGGAAAATCTCGCCTATTTTGCATACCCAAGTGGAAAGACATATAACTAACTGTATGCACACATTACATGTGTCATACCTTATTTGACAGCTAATACAATCTAGATTCTCAATATATGTTAGGAATCCAGTTTTTTGTGAGATGTGTTTTTGTGCTTTCTCCCTCCACCACCAGGTGGCGCCCGGTTCTCGTTGGCCCTTCCCCTCACCTGCGGTTGGTTGCCTCATTATCTGAGGACTCTTAAGCTGCTGACTGCCACTACCTCAACGCCAGAGTGTTTGGCAGTTTTAGGTACTGTAGCCAAGCTGTGTTTGCTGATTCAAACTGAGTTTTTTGTCTCCCTGAGTCCTAACCTTATTGTTTTTTTGTCTTTGCCTTTTCGGCAGGAAGTCCTCCTGCAAACCGGGTGTTTTGGCCTTCTCCTCCTGGAACGATCGTTTGAGCTTCACACTGAGCAGTAGATGCAAACTGGATGTTTGGACCTTTCTACCCCCGAAAGGATTGTTTAAGCCTCACACTGAGCAGGGGATAAATCTCCACACGTACCGTTCAAGTACTTTAGGAAATCTAAATGGCAGTCAGCTCCACCGCTCGTCAAGGAACCAACCAAACCTGAGTAAACCCTGTCCGCCCTCCAACGAATCAACCAAATTCTGGAATAACCCACACTGACTGGATTCTGGGAAGGACACCTTTTCTGGAAACGTGAGTCCTGTTTCAGTTTTTGTGTTTGCAAGTCGATGCTCAATTCTCCCACTGAGCCTGGACTAAACTCTGAACTTCCCTTCTCACTTCCAGTTCCAGTTCACCAGCGTTCAGAGTAACACTGAATCCAGCTCATCGTTTTTTCAATAAAATCTGTAAAAACTTTCACTGGTTATCTGAGTGGTTTCCTGCTTGGGGGTCAGATCCCTGAAAAAGATCATGACAATATATACACGTGAAATTGGGTGAGTAAAACACAGACCAAGCTGCTTTAGTTAAAGCATGACTCAAAGTTGATTTTTTTTATACTCCAAAATAATAGGTATTTTTTGAACAGCAGTTATAAAGACATGCCTACTTGTTGTGGCTGCTTTGTCATGCTACATTTTGACATGCTGCTATATCTGTGTTAATTGTGCTTTGGTGCTTGTTATGTCCATAAAATGAAATGGGTGGTTGAATTGTGAAGAAATTAAGCTTTCCAACAATGTCTAACATTTCTATATTGGTAAACATTTTAAAAGTGTAATTTTTATGCGTTCTGAGTTATTAATTGTAAACACTTTAAAACGGGTCGCGGGCGACCTGGTGGGTTTTGAGAGGCTAGACCTGTAACTCAGGCTCGGACTGCGAATGATTTTCGGCCCTGGCCTTTTTCCATCTGCAGCGACCCACCTATGGACCCCCCCCTCCCCCCAAAAAAGAAAATATTTGCACATTCAATCACGTGTAGATTAACCCATCTATCTTCAAGCATCACATGCGAGTGCCACTCACCACATCAGCAGGCTTGCAAGATGTCAATGACTCACGTTTTCCCGCTGAAAAAATGTTCTAATCATTTTTATCCATCCATTCAGAAACTACTGATTCATTAAACTACGGTCTAAAATGAGAACTCACTTGGCCTTGGTCTTATAAAGTTAATAGACATTCTAGCACCTTAAAACATTCTCACTGAAAACCTTTTCTTCTGCTGTTGCTCCTCTATTAACTGACCCTCTGAATAAAAGAAAATCCACAGAGAATTTTTTAATTTTACAATGCTGGATGCCTGTAGACAGGAATTTAATACATTAACTAAAAATCTCGATTTATTCTTTATATTTAGCTGAATAAATTATTATTTTGTATGTTTCTACACATTCACAAGGGGTGAGAGCTTCAACACTGGAAAAAAATCAAAATCTTGTTAGGTCCTTTCTTCTTAAAATAAATACATTTGTTCTTAGATTGAGGAGGTAAAAGAGACGTTTGCCAATGGAACAAGACAATTTATATTTAAAATAAGAAAACACAATTGCATTGCATGGTTGTTTGTCCTGTTTGTCTCTGTGTTGCCCTGTGATGGACAGGAGACCTGTCCAGGGTGGACCCCGCCTCTCACCCATAGACAGCTGGAGATAGGCACCAGCACCCCTCATGACCCCAGCATGAATGGATGGAAAAACTTCCTTTTATGTTTTCTCATCCACAAAAATCATCAGAAAGAGTCAGAGAAAAAGCAGCCGGTTCCATCCGCTGCTGTTACCTTCGATACGCTGGCTGAGGTCTGTGAGATTATTGCTGAGCTGCTCAGCCAAGGTCAACGTCTCCATGGACTCTGTGTCCAGCTGATTCCCTAATCTCTTCACCAGGTTTCCCTAAAGACAAAGAGAAATCCACAGCAGGTTCTGTAAATGCCTATTAGTATAAATCATGTCTTAAACACATTTGTCCTTTTGCTGCTTGCAAAACTGTATGGAGATTTTTTGAATATCCACGGTGGTAGGACTTTATAACCTACCAAAAATGAGCCAAGGCTGCACTTGCTGGATACATTTCTGTATATATGTTTATTCAGAATCTACAGTATGTTCATATAAAATCTACATCCAATGTACAATGGTGTTTTTTTTTTTTTTTTTTTTTTTTTTAGGAACCTAAAAAAAAACAAAAAACAAAACAAAAAAAACAAAAACAAAACAAGCCCACCCCACCCACTCTGTCAATTCATTTGAATCAATCTGACTGGATGATCTGTTTAACTTTAAAGTGACTTGAGATGACGTGTTGTGAATTGGCGCTATAGAAATAAACTGAATTGAATAACACAATTAAAGCAAATAATTATATCACATCTTGAACACCTTTTCAAGGACACTGTACAAGATGATTTAAATCAAAGAGGTGCAGGAAACAATAGAAACAATAACATTGAACCATGTGAAGTTCACAAATGTTTGTTTGTGGGTAGGGAACTGAGTTATATTAGATTGGAGGTGAATGAGCCATGAATTAAGTCAGCGGGACCAGGGGGGGATTTAGGAAATTTGGGACCCTAGGCAAAGACAGGCAGGGGGCCCTCTGAATTGAGAAGACAGCACATAAAACAGCCCCATTCTACAGATAGAGAAATGTTAATAGAATAGACATCCATTATCTGTTCTAGGTTGTGTCCCTCTCTTCTTGTCCCTTTTCTTCTCGTTTTCCTCTCTATGTTTTGTACTCAGCTGACTTTTCCTGCTGTCTCTAAAGGAATGAAAGATTTTTCCCAAGCACTAAGCTCACTTAGCTGATTGCTCCTTCCTGTGTTTCCAAAAAGGCCAAAGTAAATAACCCAGTCCTTCTTTTCACGGTAGACTAGCCATGATCTGCTTATCTGTTCTCCATTTTTCATTTGGATGAAATAATAGCTGCATGAATCATGACAGCAGACAAGCTAGAGGAGAGCAGGAGGCGGGGTTACCAATCTACTTGCTCTGGAGAGCAGAGCTCGCTGCTCTTAGATGTTGTCACAAAACGCCATATTAGCGAAACATAGTTAATGTGCACAAATAAGTAATAGCTGCATTAATCATACATGTAAAAGGAGTTTTATGGGGCCCCCAGAAACTTGGGGCCCTAGGCAACTGCCTAGTTTTGTCTAATGGTAAATCCGCTCCTGAGCGGGAAAAAGGTGGATAAAAAACACTGAATAATGTGATTTATCTGGGACTGGAATGAGAGGGTGCTGTAGAGGATGGCTCCCTGAATTTTTATCCAAAAGGAGGGGGAGGAGCTGGCATTGATACCATCTGAGCAAAGTTCTGGTTTATTTGAGCTGAGTTTTGGGAGGTTTGTTGCCAACCAGGAGTTGATCACAGAGGAGCAGGAGGAGAGATGGGAGGAGGCTCATGTGCAAATGTGATTACAGGACAGGAAGAACGGAGTGTCATCCAGGCAGCAGTGGAACAGGATAATATAGTGACAGACCGAACTGAGAGGAAAAAGATGAATATTAAAAGGAAGAAGCTCCAGGATGGAGCCCTGGGGGACACCGGAAATAGGTTGGAAACCAAAGGTTTTTATTTGGATGAACTGAGTGCGACTAAAATTACATGAAGCAAACCAGCAGAGGGGGATATCTGTTCTCTGGGGGATATTTATTAGGTCTTCACTGACCTGGTCTCTGAGGTCTTTCATGTCCAAAAGCACGTTGTCTGCAGCCTCATCCAGCTCTTCAGTCCGTCGTCTTATCACAGATGACTTGTTTCTCCAGACATGAAAGTGCCTCTGAAAGAAGAACAGCCAAGCTTCTTTATTCTAACACATTCCAGAGAGTCAAAAACAGGGAAAAGTCAATGCAGAGCAAAGAACGCTTGGAAGGAATATTGAAACATAATCTCTCTGAATGCCATGATGTTTGCTGTACTCTGGGGGATTATTCCCGGAAACAGCATTAAAATCCTTCTACATCCTTCATTAGACTTTATCAAATCACTGATTGCTGTCAGATGCCAACTAAATAAATCAAACTGGGATTATTTGAGTGTAAATCTAGCTCTTCTGTTAAGACCTCAGAGGTTTCTGAGAATTAGAGAACAATCGGCGTCATGAAGACCAAGGAAGACAATAAATCAGGGAGCAGAACTTTATTATGTGCTCACCTTAAACTGGTCAGGTGCACTGAGATCTGGCTTTTCTTAGGTTATAAATAAACACTAAGATTATAACAGGTAAACATTTGTAAAGCCAGAATAGATGCATCAAAAATGTTGCTTTAAACATTCCTCCAATGCTCAGTTCTTTAGATGAACACTACTTTGGCACTGAAACTTATGTTGTCATTGTTGAGAACTGAATATATATACATGAAGCATGCTAAATTATTCATTTAAACACCATGTTTCTGTATTTTACGAACCTGGAGTTGATGAGCGGTATAGTTGTAGTATTTGATCCTGTCGTTAGCCGCAGCACCAGTGGAGATGTTCAGCACTCCGACCTTCAGCTGATCCAGGGTCTTATTAGACAACCTTAAATCTCCAATCAGCTGCCAGATGCAATCATCACAACCTGAATGCAGAGGGAGCATTTAAGCAGATGTCTGTTCATGTCTATTCTTGTGTAATTTGTTGTGTTGCTCTACTCCACTCACTGTTGTTGCAGAGATTGACTGCAGCCTCTGCCAGGCATTCTCCTGTATGCATGTTACAGTGGCCGCTCTCACAGTCACACTCTGCAGAAGGAGAAAAATTCACCTACTTAGGATCTGCTGAACTGATTGTTTTAACAGCTGCACTATGTCTACACATTTGAGCTGCTAAGGGATTTCATCTCCAGGCGAAGGGTCACGGCTCTCAGCTCAAGCTCTTCTGACACCATCAGCACTGCTGCAGTCGTAGGTGTGGGAATGGACGTTTCAGGCCTTTTTCTCTGGAAATGTGTTTTTCTAATTTGAAGAGAGAGGGAAACATTTGCCATGGAGAACATATACATCTGACTTACTCTGGCAGCCGGAGGAGCTGTAATCCCAGTACCCTGGGAGGCAGCGCTCACAGTAACGACCTGCAGCCCCCGGGCGGCAAGAACAGCTGTGAGTAAGCGGATGGCAGGTTGGGCGAAGGGACGCTGGCCCACATTCACACCTCCTGCAGCCCTGACAGCTGGAGAATCCAAAGTAACCCTCCTGGATTAAAAAACAACAACAAACAAACAATGTTATACAAGTTCATGGGGGTTTAACTTCACACCTTTTCTTCTTTCAAGTACTGGTTGTGCAACAAGGGAATGTTACAGCTCACTGTGTTAAAAGCAACCACATATATTTCTGGCATTCATAACACAACTTCAACTACTTCCACCTAGAGTGTTAGCCTTCTGCAAAGAGTTGTTATACACATTTATTCCCAACTAAGTTTTTTTATTATGATCTCTCAGATAGAGAAAAAAAGTCCAGAAGTTTTTTAGATTGCATCCAGCAGTAGAATATGTCGTAACACTCTAAAACGGAGGTCTTCAACAGGGGATCCGCGACCCCTAGAGGGTCCACAGAGATACTGCATGGGGGTCGTGAAAGTTTTGGTTGTTTAGGCTTTTTTTATATATTGTAGCGGCTGGACGAAGAGGTGCATTATGGGGCACTGTTTTGGGTTGTTTGCTTGTTTATTTCTTTGTTATTTTGTTTGAATGTTGCTCATGTTGTTTATTGTTCATATTTGCCTCAGTTCATGCTGTTTTGGGGGTGTGTGTTGAGGGCATGTGAGTTTCACCCTGAGTGATAAGGCTGTTGGGTTTACTGAAGTGTTGTGCTGCACCCCTAGCGGAGTTGTTGAAGAATAAATAAACACTGTTGAAATCAGTCAACTAAGCCTGATTATTTGTAACACTCACCGGCGTTACATTGGTGTCAGAAGTGGGATGATGGATCCAGCCAACATCCACGGAGGAGCACAGCAGCTCATCAAATCAGCGCAACACAGATCTGCGTGGATAGCGGAGCAGTGGAGAACCCCGAGTCGCCCAGATGGTTCCAGCGGCCTGCGAATGCCTCATCGTGAAACAGCAAAAATGGCTGAAGATGGTGGCGAACAGAGCTCCAAGTCCAATTCACAGCCTACTGCCACGAAGACTGCTGTGAAGCTGCCCAAGTATGATGGCACGAACCAGCTGGAGCTTTACCTGAGGCAGGTTCGAATTGCGGCGGCGCACAACGGCTGGAGTGATCCGGAAACCGCCACACACCTGGCTCTCGCTCTGGAGGGTGAAGCCCAACAAGTCCTACTCGACCTGGCGCCAGAGGAGGAAAATGATGTGTGCGCACTCATCACGGCGCTGGAGCGGCGATTCGGGCGGCGTACAGCTGAGACAGCGGAAAGAGAAAAGTTAGTCAGCCGCCGCCGCCGGGAAGGAGAAAGCCTCGGGGCCTTCGCTGCTGACATCCAGCTACATGCTCGTCGAGGATACCCGAGTTTTCCTGTGGGGGCGCAGGAAGAATTAGCACTCCACGCGTTCCTGCAAGGGCTCAACCCGGAGCAACTCCGCCAGCACGTCCGCCTCGCAATGCCGCAATACCTGGAGGAGGCACTCAGGGAAGCAGAGCGTGCAGAGACCATCCTCTCGGCGTCATGGGTGGAACCTCAACCTCTCGTTCAGCTGGTTAACCGGGAGGAGCAGGAGGAGATACGCCAAATCCAGTATCCAGCCTCACAACAACATCCTGTGGTGAGACGTCCACGTCGCTCTGACTGCTGCTACAGGTGTGGAGAACCGGGACACCTTGCACGTGACTGCCCCGCCCCCACACCAAAAGCCCGGCCCCGCCGGCAGGAGGGAAACGACGATGGGATGGCCAGCGGAGGGGGCCGTCATCCCAGCCTGTAATACCCCTCCAAGGTCGCTGCACGCTGGTAGGACGTTTTGGCTGTACAAAGGGACTTTATATGCACTGCCAGCTTGACCATAATCACTGTCTAGCACTACTGGACACAGGGGCTACTATTTCTCTGGTGCGGCCGGGAACGCTTCCGGACACGACGGGGACATTGACAACTGTGTGGACACCCACAACCACACAGCTGATGACTGTGACTGGAGAAAAGGCAGGACTAATGGCCAAGAAGCTGCTGAGGGTCCGGGCTGGTAATCAGGAGGTGGTCCATGAGTTCTGGCTTGCCGACATTAAGGAACCGTGCATCATCGGCCTGGACCTTATGCAACGCTGGGAAGCCTGCATCGACGCGTCACGGGCGACAGTTACACTAGGAGGCGAGACCTTGATGTTGCAGCGCGGGAGGGAGCGACAGGAGGAGCTTGGGCGGACCTATACCACCAGCCACACTGCCCCAGAACATCATGCTGAACCAGAGGGCCCGTCCATCTCCAACCAAAGCAGTTCAACAGAGACTGAGACAGCGGTGCAGGACCTGTTACAACGCAGCTGTACCGGTCTGAACGCTGAGCAACAGGGTGAGTTAATAGCCCTCCTTAGTGACTTTAAAGACATTTTTGCAGCCAAAAATGAGGACTGTACGCAGACCGGACTAGTCCAGCACCAGATCGACACTGGCTCAGCTCCACCCATCCGCCTCCGCCCCCACCGGCTGGCTTTTGCCAAAAGGCAATCAGCAATGGACATGATTAACCAGATGGCCGCCGCAGGAGTTATCGAGCCGTCTGACAGTCCATGGGCAGCGCCAGCCGTGTTGGTCAAGAAGAAAAGCGGAGAGTGGCGCTTTTGTGTGGACTATCGACGCCTGAACAGTGTTACTAAGAAGGACTCTTATCCCCTCCCCCGTATTGATGATGCTTTAGACTGGATTACGGGATCTCAGTGGTTCAGCTCTCTCGATCTGCGGAGCGGCTATCGGCAGGTGGAACTGGCCCCCGACGCAAAGCCCAAGACTGCCTTCACCATTGGCCAAGGGCTTTGGCAGTTTCGGGTGATGCCATTTGGACTTTGTAATGCCCCAGCCACATTTGAGCGTTTAATGGAGAGAGTCCTAGCTGATGTTCCCCGGAGCCGCTGCATCGTTTATTTGGATGACCTGCTGGTGCATGCAGATGGGTTTAAAAGGGCCCTAGCCAACCTCAAGGAGGTGTTTGGTGCCATCCGCCAAGCCGGACTGAGGCTGAACCCGGCCAAATGCCGTCTCATGGCTAGAGAAACCGAGTTCCTGGGGCATGTGGTCAGCGCCAAAGGAGTGGCCACCAACCCAGCCAAGGTGGCTGCTGTCAAGGACTGGCCAACTCCCAGTAACGTAAGTGAGCTGCGGAGTTTCCTGGGGCTGGCCTCATATTATCGGCGTTTCATCAGGGGCTTTGCAACCATTGCTAGCCCGCTCCACCGCTTGACAGATAAGGGCCACAAGTTTTGCTGGGACGAGAGTTGCTCTGCTGCATTTGATCAACTCCGAACGGCCCTGACCGAAGCTCCAGTCCTGGCCTATCCGGATCCACACCGACCCTTTATTGTGGACACCGATGCCAGCAACACTGGGGTAGGTGCAGTGCTGGCGCAGCGAGGAGAGGATGGGGAGTGCGCGGTAGCCTACTTCAGCCGTGCCCTCAGCCCTGCTGAGCGAAACTATTGTGTCACACGAAGGGAGTTGCTGGCTGTTGTTTTGGCTGTGCAACACTTCCGCCCATATCTCCAAGGCAGCCGCTTTACCCTGCGCACAGACCATGCTTCCCTTACCTGGCTGTTAAGTTTCAAGCAGCCGGAGGGCCAGGTGGCGCGGTGGTTGGAGACTTTACAGAGTTATGACTTTGACCTCCAACACCGAGCTGGGCATCACCATGGCAACGCTGATGCGCTCTCCCGACGACCCTGCAAGACGTGCAGCTACTGTGACCGCCAGGAGGAACGAGACCAACTGCCAGCTGTGGCGGCTGCTTCTGCTGTGGAGGGCCTGGAGTCGCAGTCCCCGATGGATCTACAGCAGCTTCAAGAGGCCGACAGGACGCTGGCTTATGTAAAAAGCTGGTTGGTAGCGAGCAGACAACCGGAGTGGCCAGAAGTGTCAGCTCACAGCCCAGAGCTGAAATCGTACTACTCCCAACGGAACAACATTGAGCTTCATGACGGTCTGCTGTACAGGCGGTGGCAGGCTCCAGACCGAGGATCCAACATCCTTCAGCTGCTGATTCCCCAAGCGCTCCGCTCTCAAGTCCTCCAACTGAGTCACGGTTCGGCAGCCTCGGGCCATTACGGGATTACGAAGACCCTTCGCCGGCTCAGGGCGCGGTTCTATTGGCCTGGTTGTCGCACCGATGTGGAGTTATACGTCCACTGCTGTGACAATTGTACCGCCCGGAAGGGTCCAACCCAACGCTCCCGAGCACCGCTGCAGCAGTACCTGGTGGGAGCCCCAATGGAACGGGTGGGAGTGGACATCCTCGGGCCGTTTCCAGTGACTGAGTCCGGTAATCGCTACATCCTCGTGGCCATGGATTATTTCACAAAGTGGCCTGAGGCGTACGCGGTGCCGGACCAAAGCGCAGCAACCACTGCGGAGAAGCTGGTGGAACAGATGTTCACCCGATTTGGAGTTCCTGCAGAGCTCCACAGTGACCAGGGTCGAAACTTCGAGTCACAGGTGTTTGGTGAAGTGTGCCGGCGGCTGGGGGTGCACAAAACTAGGACGACGCCACTGCATCCTCAGAGTGATGGACTGGTAGAGCGGTTTAACCGTACCCTGGCCACGCAACTGGCAATTCTAACAAGCACTCACCAACGAGACTGGGACCGTCACCTACCCTTGGTCCTTTGGTCCTACCGCACTGCAGTTCAGGAGTCCAGTCAGTGCACACCTGCTGCCCTCATGTTTGGGCGAGAGCTCCGTACACCAGTAGATTTGGTGTTTGGGGCCCCACCAGAACCCGAGATTGTAGGTGGACCAGAGATGGACTACTACCGCCGGCTGAGGGACCGCCTTCAGGAGGTCCACGAGTTCACTCGACAGGCGCAGGCTGGCGCCGGTGTAAAACAAAAGAGGGCCTACGACACACGCTGCACGGGACAGGTGTTTAAGCATGGAGACAGAGTGTGGGTGTATTGCCCTATTCGAAAGAAGGGTGTTTGTCCCAAGCTGAGCAGCCACTGGCAGGGACCTGCAGAGGTGGTGGGTGGGCTGTCTGATGTGGTGTACCGGGTGCGTCTGCCTGGACGCCGGCGAGCGGTGGTACTGCATCGTGACCGGCTGGCACCGTACCACCCCCTTGCCCCACCGACTGTTCAGAGAGACACTGATCCTGTTTCTGAGGAGCCAACACAGCACCAGACCGTCGCAGAGGACAGTGGGCGGCCGGCGCGGTTGCGCCGACTTCCTGTTCGTTTCAATGATTTTGTTATGACTGATGGGGTCGCCGGGGACGTCTGACCCCTTAGGAGGGGGCTATGTAGCGGCTGGACGAAGAGGTGCATTATGGGGCACTGTTTTGGGTTGTTTGCTTGTTTATTTCTTTGTTATTTTGTTTGAATGTTGCTCATGTTGTTTATTGTTCATATTTGCCTCAGTTCATGCTGTTTTGGGGGTGTGTGTTGAGGGCATGTGAGTTTCACCCTGAGTGATAAGGCTGTTGGGTTTACTGAAGTGTTGTGCTGCACCCCTAGCGGAGTTGTTGAAGAATAAATAAACACTGTTGAAATCAGTCAACTAAGCCTGATTATTTGTAACACTCACCGGCGTTACAATATATTTCCCCCTGCAATTTTTCACTACCCTCGGGTTAACTGATCGGAGCTTGGATCAGTTAACCGCACCAAGCTCGGTTTCTTACGACCGTTTACACACCACACTAGCACAGTTTCTCACCTCCTAGTGGCGATCTACGGTACTACTGCTCTCTAGAGGTAAACAAGAAAATCAGCAAAGTGCTACTGTAACATTCAGGAAGTTCGCAGAGAGTCAGGCGAAGAAGGCAGCCTTTGGTGAATTTAATTTACTGAGTCGGCTTTTTGGAAGTTGATACGACAAACGATGTAATCGGGGTTTACAGACGCAGGAAACAACAACAGGAGTTGAGGTTGTTATCTGAAAACTGAGCCAGAACTGAAACACGCCGAGCCCCACTTTTGAACTAGTACTAATTTAGTGCGGTTCAGTTGTGTCTGGCACGGTCTGCTTCAGTTTTGCGGGCCATTTAAGGCTGATTTATACTCAGAAACCAGGTCGTCTGTGTGTGTGTCATAGTGAAGGCAGATACGCCCCCGCCCCTGCCGCAGACACTCTGGTGCACCTCTCCAAAATTGTAGGTGACCACAGACAGTGCCACAGACAGGAGGCCTCTGATTGGTCAAATCTACATCTGCTCGATACTATCCATATTTTCTGTTTGGTACCTTAATGGCTTGTTTTGTTTGTATGACCGCCATTGTGGAAAATGACTGGTGAAGATGGACCAGCTAGAAGAGCGAGATGCATGAGACCGCTGGGACCCTTTTTCTCCTCTTGTCCCTCCATTATTGCACAAACTTGCCCCCACTACCTCACCGCCTCGGCTGTATCTAGACCACATATGTCAAACTCAAGGCCCGCGGGCCAGATGTGGCCCGCCTTGTCATTTTATGTGGCCCGCTAGAACTCCCACAGCCGTCATTTTGACGGTTCTGAGATTTTAAAGGGAACAATTTAATTTATGTTGCTCATGTTGCTCCTGTTTCTATATTTCCTTCATTTTCACGTAGTTTTTTAAAATAAAATTAAAACATAAAAAATAAATATGGTTAATTCTACCTCGATCGCTCACAACCTTCATTTTGACGGCTCTATTAGTTGCATTGTAAATTCTTCCCGCGGTTGATTGATGTTCGGTACCGTTACCAAGCAACCAACATTCTACCTAGAACTTTTTAGCTAATATGGAAAAAGTAGTCTACTATAACCACACACAGGTCAGGGTGGATGTTTTGGATCAGATGATTAGAAAGGATTCTGTAAAAGCTCCGACGCGAAGGTGACCTGTGGCTGTAATATATAATCTTGTGGAAATATCAGCTATATACGCAGAGATTTTATCCTTGAACTGGTAAAAAAGTTCCAGACAATCCGCAAGTTTCCAGCCCCCGCAGTAGAGCAGCCTTGGCGAGGCACAGAAAACAGCCGCAGGAGCTTCAGCAAAAAAACGCCCATATTACGTTTGCCATAAATGTGAAAAGATGGTCTGCGGGAAATGTTTGGGGGTAATCGTTCAATTTATGTAAATAAAATTGAATGATTCTGTTGTTGTAATTATTTAATTATTTAATGTTTGCAGGTCTTATGTGTGTATGCATCAAACCATCAGTTGGATGCAAAGCTGTGTATGGCCTTTTTTTTGTAAAATGCTACATGTGTCATACATGTTTTTTGCAGCTCAGTTTTATGTTATATCTCTTTATTCACTTGGACAGTTTGATCCTTCATTAATGAAGTTATGTGGGTTTTCATAAGCTGACTAAATTTAAAAGGATTTATGTTAGAGCAACAAGCAAGCATATGTTTTCTATGCAACTGTAATTGTCACTTGAATAAGCTATAATAAATAATGAGTTATTTAACATTAAGGAGTAGTTACATTTATTTTACATTACATTAAATTACATTTAGTTACATTTATAAGTTACAACTGGCCCTTCAAGGACAGCCATTACCCTGATGTGGCCCTCAGTGAAAATAAGTTTGACACCCCTGATCTAGACCCACAGCTAGTTCCTGATTGCCCCTCTTGCGTTGTGGCGTGGAATAACATAGCGCAGACCACGCTTCAATATTGGGCATAAAGCAAAAATATCTGCGACAAGCTCACTGCGACACTGCTGGTGGAGGATAACCAGACCTTTATACTCAACAGTTATCTCAGTTACCGTGCTCGGACCGATCAGCACGGTTTAAAAATGGTAGTGGAAATGGGGCTATACTGAAGGCAGGAAGGACTATGTTAGGATATCTAGATAATGTTAAGAAGAAAAATCCACTCCTACTCAGTCCTTGTACCATCAATATATCGATGGTTTGTTCCTCTGTACTGATGAGGTACCATTCGTTTGTACAGTACGCAGGTCCTTCTCACCTCACATTGGTCACAGAAGCGTCCTTTGACTCCTGGCTTGCAGTGACACACCCCTGTCCTGTCGTCACATGAGGAGGTGCCGCATTTGTTGCACTTGCACTCTGGGAAAGACAAAGACACATACAGAGATGAGATGAAGAAGGCAGAGAGGGTCAGTTCTAGAGTTAGCCTTGACATTTTTCTTTCCAAAGATCAGCTTTTGGGAAAACTCTTTGTGGTACATATGACAGTGCACACAGCTCAGATTGGCTTCATAAAACACATTATTGTAAAGTAATCACTACTTGACAGTCATGTCACACCCCTACATGGGGGTCTTCTGCCACTAAAGAATGATGGACTGCTGTCTCAGCAGAAGAAGAAGCTGGCATTAACACACAAACACACTTCCAATCACCTCTTAACTAAGGATTTTAAGTTGTAGGGAAACGGCCGTTCCAACCATGGCAATTCTGAATTCTCCCGAGTGGTGCAAGACTTTACATGAGGGAATAAAGTGAATGTGATTGGTTGTTTATCAAGGGGGAGTGGTTGTTGTGGCGGAAGGTTTGCAAGCAAGTTTGATTTTGGCTGGTTTCTCGGAAGCATCTTGCTAACCAGTTAGCAACTTAGTGCTAGTAGGTTCCCAATGGGAAATTCCATTGGGACCAAGTAGCATTAAATTGGTGACTTAGAAACGACACTGTCAAAGAACACTATGGACAGCGGAAACATGCAAGAGGAGGAGAGTTTAGTGTCAGAGATCGTGGATGAGTCTCCTCCGTCATCCATTTTTTATTTAGAGGAGGAAAGCGGGACGAAGATGTTGTGGAAGAGGACGCCAGGGCAGCAGAAGCTTGGTTTGGTGTAGAAGGCTTCCAGCCGTACATGTTTGAGCCCTTGCCTCGCAACGCTGCCAGTTCTGTTAGCTCTACGCCTGCTGAAGACACAGACGTCCATCCCGGTGAACACTGGGACGCAACTCCATAGGAAAGGAAATGACTCTTATTTCGTATTTTAACCTTTGCGTACATTAGCTGCGACATATGAATCAAGAAAATTTTCCAAATTTTTGGGACTGTATGGTCTGATAAAGAGTACATTTATATACATGTTTAAGCCAGAATGATTTGACATTTAAATATGACTTCCCTATGACTTTAAGCTACAGGTTAAGCCCTACCTTTGCAGTTCTTGGCGCTGATGGCGTCGCCGTAGAAACCAGGGGCGCACCTCTCACAGTTGTCACCGGCTGTGTTTCCCCAGCAGTGCTGACAGCGTCCCGTCATGTTGTGGCACTCGTTAAAGATCAGGTTAGGGTCAGTGTTGCCGTTACAGTCACACCTCTTACAGGATGAACCAATAAGCATTGGGTTTCCATAGTAACCTGGAGCACACCTTTATGGGAAAGCAAAGATAGCACAGGTTACACAGAAAAAATGTGATATAAGTATATCAGCATTTCTTGAAATAGGGATAAGTTCTCTTGATTTGAGCAGGTAAAAATAACTACAAATTTCTTAAATTAAGGGTATTTACCCTTAATTTGAGTAGGTAAGTTAGATAGTTTGCCAATTGAATGAGCATTTTTAATCTTAATATAAGATAATAAGATAAAATGCACTTGAAATGACACAATGCAATTGTCTTTTGTTATTTTAAGTGTAAATTGTCTTGTTCTATTGGCAAAACGTGTCTTTTACCTCCTCAATCCAAGAACAAACACACTTATTTAAGAAAAAATGACTTATCTAGATTTAGATTTTTTCCAGTGTAAAATGACTAACATTTAAAGTATGAAATATTATCTTATTTCAAGTGCATAATATCTAATCACCGTGTTTTATTGGTAAAAAAAATATCAATTTCCCTGGAATATCTTCTTTACAGCCTGCTCAGCGACATTTAAGAAGTATTTTTCTACCATTTTCAGATCAGTTATCAGTTATATTTTAGATAAGTAAAGCTGTGAGAGATGTAGATATGCTTTAGAACAAAAGAAGAGAAAAAATATAATTAATATTGTGAATGAAAGAGCACTAAGATAGCATGGTTGAGCTCTGTAAACATTTTGTTGGAGGTAATCCGCTAATCAGCACTGACCTCTCACAGTGATTTCCAGCGTAGCCCTGTTTGCACTTGCACTGCAGACTGCCGACTCCTTTTTTGCAGTACACAGCAAAGCTGGCCGGACACACACATCAAAAAGAACATCACACAATGAGCCAAAACCCAACCCTGAGTCTCCATCAGAGAGAACAAACCAGCTCACTTGTTAGATTCGGTAGGGAGGGGGCAGGAACAGGGTATACAGGCATGTTGCCCATCCTGACTGGAGCTCAGGATGTAGCCATCTTCACACATTTCACAAAAATCTCCTGTGCTGTGGTCCCTACAGTTCTGGTGGGGGTGAGGGGTACACCATTAGCATGACACTGGTAATTACCCTGAACAATTAAAACGGATCTATGATACTTACAATGCAAACACCAGTGATGTCATTGCAGTAGTCAGCGTGGCCCTTACAGTTACATGGAAGGCATACGCTTTGTTCACTGAGGAAAAAACCCTTGGCACATACCTGTAACACAAAACGAAACATCAGATTTAAGCTGTGTTGAGTTTATAACACAGCGACGGTAGTTAGGGTTTACCTTAAAGCAAAACAGCACATTTGGGAAACCCTGAAAAGGCTGAGTGGCTTCCATTATCACTTATACTTCTACAGTATATAACAGAAGAGAGCCTTTTGGGCCTTCATGGAGTTTGCCCTGTAGTTATAAGGTAATTCTAATGCACACTGCAAAAAAAAAAAAATCAAGAAATAAGTTAACATTTCTTAAATTATGTGTATTTACCCATAGAGTTTGTAAATAAGATGATTTGCCGATGGAATGAGATTGTTTACTATTAAAATAAGATAATATGCACTTGAAATAAGACAATGTAGTTGTTTTTTTGTAAATTGTCTTATTCCATTAGCAAAGTATCTCACCTATAAAAACAAATGCACTTAAATTAAGTAAAAAGGACTTATCTAGATTTTGATTTTTTTCCAGTGTATATCTGCGCTGCTTTCCATTGACCACGGCTAAGTAAAAACAAATGTTCTTACATCCTTGTTCCATTAATAAAACCTTACATCAGTACCTACAGAAGTATTGCTGTTCCACTGTAAGAAAGTTCCTTTCTGTGGGTTTTATTTTTTCTTCAATGCAAAGAAATGGATTCTAGGGTCTGTTTAATTATTGCATCTAAATGAGCCTTTTTCTTTTATCTTTATTACAAAAATGCAAGCACTGATATTTTCATATGGATTGAACTGATACATATTAGTTTATTACTAAGTAGTTAAAGAGGAAAGGTTAGCAAAATAAAATGCATTTATCTTGAGGTTAATGTTGCCATCTTAGTTTTGTTTAGGTTAACGTGTTGGAATAGTTTAGAAAATATTTTTTATTCTTTCTTTCTGTTGTCTAATATTTGAATCTCTTTTTGCTTTTTAAAATAAAAGACAAACTAGATGAGTTCATGAAAGACAATAAATGTGTTTTTGGGCTGTGATGCTGAGAAGGACCCAACAAAGGATGTTTGTTCTGTCAGAAGGAATCCTTCAGATCTGAAGGAGCATTTTATCTAATTATCTTATTACAAGAGTAAAAATACTCATTCCAATGGCAAACTATCTCATTTACCTACTCAAATTAAGGGTAAATACACTTAATTTAAGAAAATTTTACTTATTTCTAGAGTCTTTTTCCAGTGTGGAGCAAAGTACCAGCCAACATTACAGTTGCTACAACAGTTACAAATCAACTTCATCATTCAGGGTGCCTATCTTTTTGAGGTACAATTGTCTTTCTATGTAACAAAATACCATATATGCTTTTTCTGAAGTTGATTTTCAGGCTTTCCATCATAGTCAAACATTTCTTTGAAAAAAGGGCATGGACGGTTTTAAAGCATAGTTTTTGCTGATTCAATTCAATTCAGTTTATTTCTATAGCACCAATTGACAAAAGACGTCATTTCAAGGCACTTTCCAGTTCACCAGATCATCCAGTCCAATTGATTCAAAGTTTTCTATCTAAGGAAAACCAGTTTATTGCATCGACTCATTGATTCAAAGGCAATCCCTTACACTTTGCATGATTGTAGTGATTGTAGCGACAGTGGAAAGAAAAACACCCTTTTAACAGGAAGAAACCTCCAGCAGAACCAGGCTCAGTGTGAGCGGCCATCTGCTGAGGCTGACTGGGGTTCAAGGAGACAGAAGCAGACATAGAAAAAGAACCAGAGATATAAAAGGCAACTGTCAACCAGCTGCACAGGCGGCCCAGTCCAGGAAACAAACAGCCAGGCAGACGAGCTCCATCCAGCTCTCATGTCAGAGGATGAAGAGAGCACATCCAAAGTCACAGTCAGAGAAACAGGACTACACTGAAAAACAGGCTGATCTCCAACATCTCGAAACAAAGGTGTTGATGGCAGCTGATCAATACATTTTTCAGATTGCGGCCTTGGTTCTCTGTGCAGTTGCTGAGAAGATGCCACTGCTGCTGTCCCTCTTTTCATGGTAGATATAGCTTTATTCACATGTGTCCCACCATAAACAATTATTGTAATAATGCCCCTTTTTTTGTAGTTGCACCATTTTAATTTTCTCTATGGTAAGTTTTTAGTAAATGTCGATTTTGTTTGTTTGTCCAAAATGTTGTGGAATTTTAGGAAAATGCCATTTAATTTCTCCTGGGTTCCCCATGGCTCTGCAGTATTCATTTATGTAATGATCTTGGTTCTGTTGTTTTTCTTTAAGTTTTCTGTTTCAAGTTTAACCAGGTTTTTCATTGATTTCTAGCTTTTTTGGTGTGTCTGGATTCATTTAAGTTGCTTAGGTTTTTCTGTCTGTCCCCTGCTGCCTCCTTGTGTTCTTTTCCCTTGGCTTCCTCATCAGCTCTAATCACACCTGTTCCCTATCAGCTCGTTAGCTCTCTCTTTGTTCAGTCAGCCATAAATACACTCCCTCTGCAGTCCCTCTTTGCTGGTTCCTCGTCTTACCTTTCTTCACCCTGGCTCCTTGTTGGTTTTTCCCTGATGTCTCCATGGTTCTGGTTAGTGTTTGATTTTTATGTTTGATTTTTGGATTCCTGTTTTTGTTTAACATTTTTTAAGTTGGATTTTTGGATTCCTGTTTTTGTTTAACATTTTTTAAGTTGGATTTTTGGATTCCTGTTTTTGTTTAACATTTTTTAAGTTGGATTTTTGGATACCTGTTTTTGTTGCCTGATCTTGCAATAAACCCTCCAAGAATTCACCTCTGCCTCCCAGCTTCTGCTTTTGGGTCCAATCTAAAACTTTTAACCAAATCGTGACAATTTACTGATTTTATTTCCCCAGCTTCTCCTGCTCTTAAGAAATCAGTTTGATCTTTTTTCACCCTGTTTGCAGTATTTTCCTTTCGGCTCTCAGACTATTTCCCAGCAGATTGTTGTTGTAACCACTGTGTTGGGTAACTCTCCAGAGCAGATTGACTCACGGGTCACAGCTTGACTGCCTCTCGGCTTTCCAGATAAAATCCACCATTACTGGTTCTGATTCTCCATCATGACTTCCCACATTCCTAGTCATTACAAGAGCACCACTACTCCTTGAACTTTTCAGATTTATAACAATGGCATTATAAACTGCGCAGATTTATCTTCTAAAACCATGCATCTTATTTTTATTTTTCTCACACTGTTTACATTTGATGACTGCTGCACTTTATGGAATTGATGTTCTGCTGCTTATTAACTCTCTGAAATTTAATTTTGTGAAAACAGAAACTAGTCCATAACCAGTTAGTGGAAGAAAAGAAATGATTGACTTTGATAGTGTCAGATGCGGTCATATTCAGTCCCTCTGACTCAATACATTGTGGTATTGTATTATAGAATCACTTCTGTCAGTGAGTCCCAGGGCAGCTGTGGCTACAGTGTAGTTTGCCACATCAGTGAATGGGTGAATGACTGAATGAAATGTAAAGAGCTTTGGTCAAGTCCTCTGACTTAAAAACGTGCTATATAACTACAGGCCATTCACCATTAACTATATAGTTATTAGTGCAAACGTTAGGACAAGCTTCAGTCACAAACAGTTTTTAATTATGATGGGAGGTGGGAGTAATCCAACATATGATGTTGTATTGTCACACATTTTGTGTGGAATATCAGTGACAGTACCTTCTTTCTGAAGGTGAATTATATTTTTTGCTTTTTAGAAAACAGTTTTTTTTTTCTGTTAGCCGTTGCTACAATGAACCCGACCAAGGCACAGTCAGGAGAGTTAATTCAACTCATAGAATATTAAACCTTACACTAGAGCTTATTTAGCTCTAAACAGATTTACAGTCTATAAAGTGTTGGTATTTTTACCATTGAATGTCATAGATTTAGTCAAATTTTATTTTTGTGTGGATGGGCAGGTAGGGGTGGGGTGTCTGGCAGGCCGCTTGCACCTCCTTACTATGCTTATTAAAATGAACAGATGCACCTGCATCCCAATTACCCTGGTTCTCCCTGTTTATAGATTCCTCTCTCAGTCATTCCCTGCAAGAATGTCTTCTTCTCCTACTTGCCCGTATGAGACTCCCCCCAGTGTCAGTGTGCTCCTGTGTTCTTCTGCTTGGCCTGTCCTCATTTGATATCATCAGACTCTGACTCCGATCATGTCTAGCCTCTTTTTCGCCTGCCATCAGTTCATTCTACCTTCATCCTGTCTAGTCAAAGTCTGCCTCCACTCTGTTCAGTCATTGTCGGCCATGATCTGCAATCAGCCAGTTCGTTTGTACGCAGGGTCAATCTTCATCTGCCTCCCTTAGCTTGCCACCTGTCTGCTCTGCCTGCCACCAACATCAGCTGCCTACCCAAGCTTGCTACCAGTCTGCTCGCCTGGATTCATAAACATTCATTGCAAGCACTTACTATAAGCCTTGTAAACGTATCTGGCTGAATCCCAGCTTCTAAGATCTACTGGCTTTAATTTAATCATGTTGTAATGCTGGCGAAGATTCACAGTCATTTTTTTATTCATTAATTTGATTCATGATTAATTCTTTGGAATCATGTTGCTATATATTACATCCTTGGTGATGTTTTATGACGCCACATAAATGCATTTTCCCTTAAAATTGTGTTATTATCTTTCATTGTGCTAATTCTTTGCACACATCATGTTATTTTTATAACACACTAAAATCTACTTTAAACATTAAAATCTTTTACTAATCATTGTTTTACGACACATTAGAGACGCGCTCTGTGTTTATCCAGTCCAAAAACACCCCTGCATCCTGAGTCACCATTGTACGTGATAATAGATTTCATTTGTTTATCCACCACTCATTTCTTAATCAACTTAAGCAGAAAGGCTCACATACAAACTGGTTGTTATGATTAACTCCAGCTGGAGTCAAAGTAAATCAGTTGCAGATGTTAAAATGTAATTTGCTCTTTTGACAACTGTCACTGAGCTTTTTTAAATGCTCAAAGTGTTGAAAACCCCCCAACTCCTGCAGGTAGATTTAAAAAGAAATGTATTAAA